TCAAGAACAAGTGCATTGCTCAACACAAACGTGGAGCTAATTAAAGTCACAATCGAAACCAAAAACCTTTGATTTTTTAGAAAAAAGAAGAAAGATTACTGAAAACTACTTGAAATCAAAGATATTTGTCTCACATGTTTACTGCTTTATATTGGAAACTAAACAAAAGCTTCCAATTCACAAGTATTCAAACCTTTAAGTAGAAAACTTAAGTAAATTAAAGTATTAATTCAAATACATAAAACGTTGTTGAACAACTTTTAAATTTGTTAAGAAAAATTTAATCAATCCTTACCGTGAAACGTTTAAACGAAAACTGCAATGAGCGAGAATCTAAGACCAATTTTATACAAAATTCATAGATAAGAAGACGAATATTGAAGAAATTAGCATAATCTTGAAGAGTTTCAGTTGACTGATAGCTTTATCACCACCTTATGACCACATGATCACCGCAAGCGGAAATTTTATAAATTTATTTTTAATAAAGATTCAAAACATTTTTAATCTAATGAAGTACAGTGGAAGCTCGATAAGAGAAATTTCCTTAAGTATAAAAAGCTCGATAAATGTCATCACACTCACATTTTTCAACAATTTCCGTTCGTTTAGAGAAAAAGCTCGTTAATTGTGACTCCCTTGAATCTTCGCTAATGGAGCTTCCACTGTATTTACTTGCTGATAACTTTAAATACTTTTCTTCAATCTTTAAGACGACTCTTGCGACTTAAAATTAAAAAACTTGTGCCATCCTTATAAAATTCATAATTTTTATTGATTGAACTGAATGAAATCATCGATTTTAATTACAATTCGTTTGTATTCTCCAGTTCTTTATTTTTTAACTGAGTTAATTCTTGACGCAACTGAGCCAATTCTTGACGCAGCTGAAAGTTATCCTTAGTCAAGGAAGTTATTTTCGCAGCGATTTGTTGTTCAAAATGTTCTCCACCAATAATTTGCTTTTCTAACATATCGATTGTCGGTGGACAATTTCGGGCAAAATTAGGCAACTCATTGAGAACTCTGGTTCTATTACCATCAATTCTGATATTGTGACAAGTATCTCGAAAATCAATCGTATCAAGTTCAGTCAAATGATCGAATATGTCATATCCTATGTGCTGCAATGGATTGTAACTGAAAGTGATTGTTTGCAACTTTGGATTTTTCTGGAAAAGGTTGAAATCAAGTGACGATATTCTGTTGGACCACAAAGCTAATTGTATTAATTTCGGAAAAACGCTGATGTCTGATTGTTGTATCTTCTCAATTAAATTTTCTGTAACAGCGATGGCTTTTAGATTTGGAAAGAAGTGATTGATATTTCGAGGCAAGAACGTTAAATTTTGATGTTCTTTCATGAATAATGCTTCAACGTCTTCATTTCTTCTGCCACCAACGTGATTCAAAGTTACTTCTGTCACATTATTTGGATCACCGACAAAAATTATTCTTCCGTTGTCGCAATGATAAATGATGGTGCTTGTCCGCCAATAACCTTTTAGTTGGTATTCACATTCAAGAACAAGTGCATTGCTCAACACAAACGTGGAGCTAATTAAAGTCACAATCGAAATCGAAAACCTTTGATTTTTTAGAAAAAAGAAGAAAGATTACTGAAAACTACTTGAAATCAAAGATATTTGTCTCACATGTTTACTGCTTTATATTGGAAACTAAACAAAAGCTTCCAATTCACAAGTTTTCAAACCTTTAAGTAGAAAACTTAAGTAAAATAAAGGCTTAATTCAACTACATAAAATGTTGTTGAACAACTTTACATTTGTCTTGAAAAATTTAATCAATCCTTACCGTGAAATGTTTAAACGAAAACTGTAATGAGCGAGAATCTAAGCTCAATTTTACACAAAATTCATAGATAAGAAGACGAATATTGAAAAAATTAGCATAATCTTGAGGAGTTTCAGTCGACTGATAGCCTTATCACCAAACCATGACCACATGATCACCGCAAGCGGAAATTTAATAAATTTATTTTTAAGAAATATTCAAAACAATTTTAATCTTACAAAATGTAGCCAAATTGAAACCATTTGAACTTTCAAAGTATACATGATGAAGTTTTAAACAATTAAGAAAGTGAATTAAACTATTCAATTGCGTGTCATATACGAAAGTAAGTTATTTGGTTCTTTTTATTACTTTTTACTATTATAGAATATTTACACGCCTACATAGATATGGAAGTGAATTTTGTTATTTGTACCTAATTCTTTTTCTAAAAAAGAATAATTCTTCTTCACAGTAAGTTTCAAGAAAGCTACAAAGTTTTCCTACCTTCTTCATCTCACCTTCTTACCTTGAAAAGGAACGATTAGATGATTTTGCATAACAAATATAATTCGGATAAAATAATGTATCAGAGAAATTATATTGAACACCACGAACGTATATTTTTTGATCAGTATGTTGACCATTTCTGTTCCTTTCTGCTGAAAGAATAATTGGCAAAAAGATAAAATAAATAAGTTAACAAACCAAAATAAAAATTTAAAAGTTTCATCTTCAATTTGAAATACATAAAACTATTGAGTGAAAATATTTATGGATGCTTTTCATTATTAATTAATGTTTTACATTGTTCAAATATTTATTTCATTTTGTAATTATTTTAGAATTTCCTTTACTCATCAGGTAGAAAGCTTCCAACAGTTGCTATAACTTTTAATACTTTATCATGTACACATCATACAAAGTTTCGAACTACAATCGCTAACATCATGTATCATGACTTATCAATGGATGCGCTTCCGAAGTGTTATGAAATGCTTTTAACACTTTTTGAATAATTTATTGGGTTAATCTCTTTGATTTCGTTTCCTCAACAATCACATGGATCGTGCCAAATTTTACAATGAACTTATTTAGCCAATATGTTTAATATATATAAATGGTCGATAATTTCCGTGTTGTCGTCAGTTCACAAATAATTTCCTAAAGTGAAAGATTGAAAATCGTCATGAAAATTCTCGTGAGTTTTCAAATTTAATTATACTCATTAAAAATATTCTTTGAACTTTTCTTATAATTTAAGATATTTTATGCTCTTTTGGTGAATATTCTTTTCGTGTTAGTGACTTCTGGATTTACAAAGGTGAACACAAAGTGAGTCGAAACTTATAAAATCAGTGACAACATTATGAGTGAAGGAACACAAAATTCCCTTAAAAGCTTTTCAAACTTTCATAAAATTTTCAAAAGTCAACCTGAATTCATTTTAGCAATTGTTATGCAATAAAATTACATTAGCAATGAATCATTTCCATTAAATTGGTAAGAAAGACGACAAAAACAATACGAACTCAATAACGTGAGTTGCTTGACAATGAACATCATTGAAATGTACGCTGTGAACATTATCGACAAAACAAAGTCGTCAATATGTTGTCATTGAATGGAGACAAACAAAGATAATTAAAACAGTTATAAAATCGAAAGTTTTATTGCTACGTGTTTATCAGCAATAAAAATATTTATATTTGCTTTTAATTATATCTTAGTGTAGTTCATAAAGTCGCTGATGGTGTGCAAGGAACGTGGAAAAAGAAATGGACATGGAAGCAGCATTGGGTGAAGACATGGAAGCCTGTCTACGTAGCTAAATGGTAGCTAAACAAATCAAGTTTTCATTTTATAATGAATCTTTGATATTTTATTTAAGGACGAAAGTTTGGTCACCCGCTGAAGTTCGTGAATATGTCCCTTTGCCACCAGTGCCTCCAAATTGGCTGAAACCAGTGAATCATCACTAAATTAATTGTAAAGCATTTCAACACCAAAGACTGACATAAGTCATGCATTAAATTAAGCTATTAAAGTTTTTTTCTACTCGGTTTTTATATAAAAAAGCAATTCAAGTTAATGATCGATTGTTCACACTAAATAAACATGTGAAAATTGCAGAAATAAAAACAACTTGAAAAGTTTTTCATTTCTTATTGAAGATGTTTGAAATTTTTGTAAATTTCTTTACTTCACTATTCCGATCAAGTATTTATGTAAATAAAGGAAGTTTAATGGTAATTGTTTGTGGGTGTGTTGATAATATCATTTATTGAGACAGATAATAAATCATTGCGAGAAATAAAAACTTCATCTTGATTGCAACTCCACGAAGCAATGACAAATTTGATGAAATCAAAACGAAAGCAAGTAAAAGTTTTATGTAACAACATACACTTAAATAATTTTATTTTCATTATTATCTACTTAAAGCATAATGATCAACATAAATCTTATGAGTAATGGAAATGTTTGTGAGGGTGAAAATGTTTTTCTTTCTTTTTTTTGGAGATAGCTTTTCACGATGATTTTTCAACTTGATGCGACTAATTTTTCTGAGATTTGTGAGTTTGTTGATGGCAACACAGCAGCCGATGTGACAGCTGATTCTGAATTATCACGTTTCCAAATTACTTTAGATTGACTAGCTGAATCTGTTCGATCCCAACCTTGGACAATGTTTCCATGGTTATCGTGTGGATGCTCACCGTGATGATCTGGTGTTGGGAACCATTCTGAAATCACGACGGGCTTCCAAATCTTTTTCCATGCTGGTAGCCAAATGTCTTTATAGTCAGGAACCCAAATTTGCTTCCAATCTTCTTTCCATGTCAACTTCTTGTCAGGAACATATTCGAGTTTCTTACTTGGCTTCCAGTACTGTTGCCAAGCTTCAACCCAAGTCAACTTCTTATCTGGAACCCAGATTTGCTTTTTCGAAGGAATCCAAATCTGTTTCCAGGCTTCCTTCCATGCAAGTTTCTTATCATCGATCCAAATTTGCTTCTGTGCCGTCTTCCAAATCTGTTTGTAATCTTCCACCCACGTAAGTTTCTTTGACGGCACCCACACTTGTTTCTTAGATGGAACCCAAATTTTCTTCCATGCACTCTTCCAAACAAGCTTCTTCTTCCATAAATCATGTGAACTGTACTCCCATCCTTCAGGATCTTTGCCCAAGTACTTCTCTCCAGGAATTCCTTTCTTAATCCTAATGATTTTGTTTCATAATTAAATTTTAATTCAAAACGATTCAACTAACTTACCATTGTGGAACCCAATATTGCTTCCAAGCCGGAACTTCAATATCCTTCCAAGCTGGCACTTTTATTTCAATCCATTTGGGTTTCCAGATTTTCTTCCAAGCTGGTACCTTAAGTGAAAACAAAATTATTACGAAAATTCCTTTAAAATTATTTCTGACTTCAAACTTACTTGAATTTCTTTCCAAGCTTCTTTTTTATACGGCACCCACACAGGTTTCCAGATTTTCTTCCAATCTGGAATCTAAACGAAGAAAGTTTTATTAGTTTTGACATTTCTCTGATCATTCTCAAACAAACCTTGATTTCCTTCCAAGCTGGCACTTGAATTTCAACCCATTTAGGTTTCCAAACTTTCTTCCATGCGGGGACCTTTGAGAAGACAATAAATTCAATAATTAATTAAAGAATTTTTTAAGCACAACTCACTTGAATGTCACGCCACACTGGGATTGTTGTAGGCACCCAAACTGGCTTGTAAATTTTCTTCCAATCAGGTTTCCAAATTTGTTTCTTTCCTGGTTTCTATAAATTAAATGATTCTCAGTAATTTTAATCGTTTCATTAATTAAAGTTTTAACTTACCCAATATTTCTTCCATCCTTCTTTCCACGTAACTTTCTTCTTCCAAAATCCTGGATCATGATGATGATCATGATGGTCATGATGGTCATGATGATCATCTATTAACGGTTCTGCTCCAAAATCATGGCCAATTCGTTGCTGTACAATATGAGAAGTGCTGACCTGCGACTCAGCCGTCTGTTGATCTGCAACAGCTTTTGAAGAAACAAAAGCGATGTGAACTTGCAGCAGGCCAAGGGTGAAGATCTGCAATAGAAGAATTTTCATGTAACAATTTGTTGTAAATCTTCTTAATTACATAATCATTCAATAAACACAATTGCCTGATGTCAGATAATCATAAATAAACGCTTTTCATTGCGATGTTTATTTTTTAATTGTTCATTGACACCATAAATAAATTTCAAGATCATTAACATAGCAGAAAACAAAAACGAAAGTAGCGTGTTGAAACAAAAGAAATAAATGATTGTAAAAATTCGTGATGTATCTTTAAATTATGTTAGACATGAAAATATATTTTTCAATAACTTTATTTCATTTCGATCAAAGCTTTTGGTTGTGATTAAGCTTTTCTAGATCATCACATTAAAACAAATTAAATTTCTTAACTTTCTTCAACATCACGCTGCAAAATGTCGAAGCCATAAATGAAACAAAGTAACAATACCGTCATAAAAATCAAACTTATTAGACTACCGACTTTCACCTCCATTTGACATGTCGTTGAGTTATGTTGAGTGAGACATGCAAAGTATTTGACAGTTTTGTTTTAAAATTAATTCTCTTACAGCACGTTTTACATTAAACTTTAATTACTTTTTTTTAATTGACTATAAAAGCTAGCATAACTCTTTGAATATTTATGACGAGTTAGTGCAATTTATGTGAACGCATTGCATGCATTAAAATCAATTAAACGACAATCATCTTAATTAAACTGTCGCAAGAGTTTATTACTTCACTTTTATTGAACTCGAATCAATGTGTTGTGGAAATTTATTACGTTACAAATGATGCTATGATGAAAAAAAAGGTTTTGCATTCTTTTCTCATGAATATTTATGTGAATTTATGTATAGCGCTTGCATTTTGAAATATTTCACGGAAACAATGTAGGAAATGCAAGTTTTATGCAATCCATTTCACAGTCTTCGCCATCGATAGACAACAACAAGACATGTCGCGCTTTGCCGTAGTTCGTAATTACTTCGATATTTATGGAATGAGGAAAGTTTAGATATCGCGGCGATTTTAAAACCTGCAGTAAAAATAATTTGTCGCATTTGGGAATTAAAGTCAAAGTACAAAATCAGGAAAAAATGTTGACAGTGAAAGTTTTCTCTTTCTTCTCGCTAAAATATAGAAAAAATATTAGAAGAGAACTTAAACGTGAATAAATTTCTTTAAAAATTTATTAATAATCTGCTGTTGGGGGTTTTCAAGATCACTGGACTAGATAAATATCAATTTGAAGAAATAGAAAACGACTTTCCGTCATGAAACGCGAGTCAATAAATCATTCAAAATAAAGTGCGAATTTTTAAATGAAATCATTTGCTACTGGTTGCTATCGTGTTTGTATCATAACACTTATTACCGCAATCGATTGCTCAATGTCGGAGGGAAAAAATTATGATGATGGTTAAGTGAAATTTTCTAAATAATTGAATGCCGCGTGTGGGCAAAGTTTAAATCAATCATTTTTATGGATCATAAATCACTCTCAACTGTTCAAACATTATTTGATCTTATAAGTGAGTCAATTATCAATTTGAAAGATCATTAAGAAAGACTTGTGTGGATTACTTTAATGAAAGTAATTTTAAGTTGAAAAAATTCGATTGATTAACAATTGGTAATGATCATGAAATTGAAGTTGAAGTTGGCGAAAGTTTGATTAGAATATTGATAAATACTCAACATCTGACTCAGTCAATAAATATTTTGCATCTCTCGGAAGAAAATAATTTTTACAGCACTTTAAAGTTGTGTAATCAACGCCCGCACACTTTTATTTGCATTGTGAGTCTGTGGCGTTGTGCGAGAGATCGACAAGTTTCCTTAGATGGCGACAAGACTTTCGCAGACTTTTTTGTTGTTTTCTTCCGCTTGCTTTTAATCTTAACGGGACGTCTCAATATCTTACGTAAGACTCTCAAGTGTCTCGAAGTTTAAAAGTGAAAGAGCCAAGAAGATTCAAGCAGTTTGAATGTGAGTCACTCGGTCTTTCCTCGCTTTCTTCATGTAATGTCATTAATTCAATTAATGATAACTTTTTTAATTCAAAAGACAATGAAAATGAAAATATTTTTGTCCACTCATTGAGTCACAACAACAACATATGTTTACATAATTGTTTACTCATGAGTTGAGATCAGATATCAAAGATCGAGTAAATGAAAAGATTCAATTATGCATTGGATTATCAAATCATGATTACAGCGTTAAAATTCAACTATAATTAATCAAAATAAAATGTTGTAATTTTCTCATTGCAGGCAAATTTCACTTCACGTCCGAATGCGTTAATAATTATGAGCACACCATGAATGTTTATGAACATTTTGAAGACAGATAAAGAATGTGATTAAGAGACTCGTTTAAGCTTTGTCAACTTTTAACTAAACTTTGTTTTAATATGTTCACTTGAACTGGCACAGAAGCATAATCGTCATGTAATAAAAATCATGAAAAGTTTACACAACTTAATGTTAAAGGTCGCTAATGTTACTTTAAAAGAAGATAAACAGAGAAAAGCGAAGCTCGATCGTGACGTTCAATTTCCTTTCAAACGAAATAAAGCTTTCAGTTTGTGTAACTTTTCGAAGTGTTAATTAAACAAATTGATACACATTTTATCGTCTGTATCGAAAGTGAAATCATTGAAAAGAAGATTTTTTTTTCCTTTTTTTTTCACATGATTGAATTAACAACTTTTGAAGATCACGTTTATTGCACTTTCATTTTCACTTCTTCATAATTGTTCTTTTTGATTGTTATCTAAGATAGGTAAATGTCATATTTAAGAATGATAAAAGTTAACTGACCACAAGATTTCTTTTAACACCCATTCTATGGGGAAGTTTTTATCATTTATGTCCCCTTATCAATCGTCGAAAACAAAAACTTTTCTTTATTAAATCACTAAAAGAATTTTATTTGTCATTAAATTCTTCCACAAGGAACGCACAATGATGACAATTTTCTTCAAATAAAAAAACAAATTTCTTCCGTTTGATTTTCACTGCAACACTATAAAGACTGATAAATGCGTAGATCCGAATTACTATTTTATACGAATCACATTGAAGTTTATTTAAATCCCCCGAAAAAAAAAGAAAGAAAAAATATCAAAACATTGAGCAGCGGCGTACGGTGAGAGAGAAATGCTCTGATTTAAATGTAGTTGAGTTAAGTAAGGTAAACTTAACTAACGAAGTTGCTTGAAATAATTGTATCAAGAAAAAAAACATAAACAAACTTATACTAAAGAAGAAAATTCATAAACAACACATGAAGTTATTCATTTGCATCGGATGATAAAATTTATAATTCAAGTGCATGTTTTTCTTCAACCATTCATGGTGGAGAAAAAGAGCGTAAAATCAAAACAAAAACTAAAAAAGCTTTTGAGCTTCGTCATTTGATTTGCGCAAGAGGGGAAATTTCCAGTGTTTTAACGACGTTTCAATCTCTCGTTAATTGCTTTCGCCAAAGCTAAAGTAAAGAAGAAAAATGGCGCGAGATTAACACATGTTGATGTTGAGTCTTGTTTTGATCAAAGAATTTCGCGCAAATCATTGTGTTGCTGCTTCGTTCGGTTAACACTTTCATGTTCATGTTGATATGCGACAACACAAGACGCGTAAAGAAATTTCGCGACATACCTTTATTGAATTGCGCACCAAGGCCATTTTCGGAGACATTGGCGCGAGGGATTAATTGTGAGCTGCATTTTGTTTTATACAACAATACTTGAACTGTTTTAACTCGATGATATGGCGATGGTGCTAAAAAGGTTCGTAACTCTTATGCAATTCGACGTAATGATGAAATCAAAGGTTCCTGTATTGCAATATCTTGTTACTGCAATAAATAGTGAAACGATTTATCGCAGGTAATGATTGAATAATAATAAAAGAAAGTTACCGATAAAAAATTCATTTATGCGATCTATGAAAAGACTTCTTTTAATTATGAACGATGTCAAGACAGCGCCCAAGTGAGATAATCATGTCAGTTACTTAATTGTAATCGTCATATGCTTGTTGTATGATAATTAATGTTCAAAGAGCTTATGTCCGAGGGTTATGATCGACATTTTTTATTTTATTATTTCATTCAAATTCATGCCATGTCATTAGATTTATTCATGACAATTTACAATTTTTCTGATCGCTCATGCGATGTTAAGTTGTAGCAATGAAAAGGAATCGAAGAACAATATCGACTGATTGATCTTCCCAACATAATCATGATGGAAAGTAGATCAATTTGAAAAGTCTATGAGAGTTTTTATTTTCTTCATTGGAATGCGGTTGCATAATTTCCTCTTGAAACTCGATAAAGGCATGTTGAGGACGTTACATAATGTCTCGTTGCATTGAAGGGGAAATGCATTTTATGAAGCATTTTCAGGTTTCGTACTTGCATTTGAGAAGAAAAAAAGTTTCTTTGACAATAATGTGAGCTTGAAAATTCATTCGAATTCTATCACAGACACGTCTGAATTTGAAATCAATTTTCAAGGATTTTCCACAAGAAAATTTCCCGAAATTATTAAAGGATGTGAAAATATTTCTTCCTTTTCCAGACTTCCGCTTCAGAAACTTGTTGATCAATTTCCCTTCTTCCTCTACCTCATAACTTCATTTGAATTCCCACAAAGCAAAAACAAGTTTTAATAATACCCAATGAATCGATTTGCCTCGCCATGATCTTGATGTTTTAAACGGTCAAAGTTTTTTCTTTCGTTTTCCTCTTAACGCTGCTTACTTTGCGTGGCTTTGACCGAAAACTTGATTCAAGCTTGCGTACATGTCATGATCATAAAAAATGTTTTTAAATTAAATAATTTTCAACTTACGTTTCCCGCAACTTGCGACTCGCGGATTTACTTTTTCTCGGATATTTACTTGTTGTCGTCAGGGCTTTCACATAAATGACAAACTCTCAAGATTCGCTAATTAATTTTCATAATGTAAGTACAGTTTAAACATCTTAAAGTATTTTTATGGCATACCTGCAGTGCAACAACTGATACTTAAACTCCAGGAAAGAAAAACATAAAACTGGCGAAATGAAATTCAAGTTGGAAGTTGGCAGCACTTTGTAATTTCAAATAAAATCTTTAAAATGTACGAGCATTCAATTTCACTAAATAACAACCATGGAATTTATTCTTTTTATTGATCAAGAGAAAAGAAAGAAATGCTCGTCATCAGTTCAATAAGATTGCAACAGGAATTGTTACATCATTACCAATAATTTGTAAGCAACAAATGAGAACAATTCATTTGTGTTTCTTGCATCTTTTGCTCTATTGTGCTATTGAACTATGCAATTTACTTTGAAATTATAGTTTCAGATGTTGAGACGTCGAGACGAGAGACGCAATGCGGAAAGAAGGTTAAAAGTAAGAAGAAAGTGTTGTGCAATAAGAAAATTATTATGTTTCATGCACGAAGATCGGGCGACAAGTTCAAAAAGATCGTCGTGTGTCTTACAGTAGCTTTTTATGTCTATATAAATTAAATTGAAAACAATAAAAAGTACTGATTGAGATGTTTTCATTATTTTCAAGTCGTTTTTGGCAAAACTTATGAAACATTTCATTAATAATGATGTTCGCATGTTTTTGTGTCGCTAAGTAATTTCACTGACCTATTGAAGTTTTGCACGCAATATCAGTTTGTGAATTACTTAATAAAAGAAATAAAAAGAAAGAGAGATGTGTCTTAGTCATGTCAACAACTATTCTTCTCAATATAAATCTGCTTGCGGCGAAACATTTCAAAACTCACAAGGTTTAAATGAAAAGAAACTTAAGTCGAGCAAAATTGATTTATGATCATGATGACAGTTTCAGACGAAAATTACTAAGCGGTCCATATATGAAATTAAAAACTCGCGTGTCAAATAATAAGTTAATGCTTGTTTAAATGTCTTTTTAAAAGATGAAAAGATAATTGGGAAGAAAAATTCATTTATTTGACGCTCACTTTCTATCTATCCTTCATAATCTTTAATTCCAAAAATTATTTTTCCATATAAATAAAGTTCACCTATATGATATAATCGTAAACATTTTATTTTTACTTAACATACAAATTGTAAGAAACAAATTGCTCAAGAAATATCAAAAAAGCATGTGAAGATTGAACAAGAAAGCTTGAAACGCTTTGAAACTGAAACTGCCAATGTCGGTAAAGCAGACTTGAAATTTCTTTTAAAGCATAAAACGTGTAAGATTTTACTTTTAAATTAATTAAAATTAGTTTAAGCTTTTATGACAAATTATATAAGCTTTATGCAGTATCAAGGGTTTACGACTATTGCAAAACTTATATGTTAATTAAATTGCCTTTATGTACTCGTATTACTTAACCACATTGTTGACGAAACTCGATTTAATTCTTTTTTTAAATTGCTTTAACATTTATGTACCAACCTTTTTTAAAAACTGAACTTTCTTTTCAAAACTATCTCAAGCAATCTGCTTTAAAAGGTTTGATGAGAAAAGAAGGAAGCTCAACTTTTGATGCTTTTGTTCATGGGTAACAACGTAAAAGAAATGCAGAAATATCAACTAAATATCAGTTGGTTTCTTTTCATAAGCACTCAGACACAATGACGGTAAGTCCATTCAAGTTTCCAAGTGACTGACTTTAATTAAAGCATAATTAAGTGGGAAAATGTATAGTATTTCAGTACAAGTGTTAAATCAATTTTCTGCTTTTAATTTTTCAACAACTTTTCAAGAATTTAAATTCATAAAAATATTTGAAAGTTCATGTGCGATATTGGAATCTTAAAAATGATAAAATTAAAACACTTTATAAGCTAAATGTTTAAAATTTACGCTTGAAACTGGTTTCGAGTGAAGAACAAGACAAAAGTTAACATTTGGCATGTTTGATTTATTCGATGCTTGACGAATGCTTTAGTAAAACACTTTTCAAGATTTATTCTTTTATTGTTTCTTCTCATTTCTGTACACAAAGAAATCTCATAAAAACCAACATAAATTTACATAAATTCATTAATAACAATTTTAAATGTTTAAAATGTTTTTTCTTTTGAAAAAATAAATCAACTTAGAATGATTTTTATCCGAGAATGATTATTGAGTAAATGCCGAACAAGACAATGTGATGTAATCAAGCTGAAGATCTTTATGATTTCCTTTATCAAAAAATATTTTTCTTGCACAAAAACAGAAGAAAAACAAAAATATGACTCATAACAAATCAACACTTCTGTCTTAATTCATCATAAATGCTAATCAGATGTTGTTGGAACAGAGGAATGTAGGATTAGAGTAAAGTTTTATATACAATAGCAAAGATAGGAAGCACAAAGTTAACAACAAGAAGACAAAAGAAGTTTTGATGAGATCTTAAGCTAATTAATCGACTTGGTCATGGTGATAAATACTCCCAGCGTAAACATTTTATTCATGAATTCGACTAAAACTTCCTTACTCCCGACGAACATCTTAAAATATCTACTGGTCTCATCTGGTGTTTGTTTCTTTTATACTAAATTATTGATTTGGATGCTAGAAAATATTTTCAGTCCCATCCATGGCCGTGACTTTCGATTGGAACCCACACTTTCTCCCATACAGGCTTTGACACCTTCTTCCAAACTGGAACATGCTTCTCAACCCATGCAGGCACTTTCTCTTCCTTCACAGTATCCTTCCACACGAGCTTCTTCTCAGTCGCCCATTCTTGCTTCTTTTCTATTCTAAATGTTTGAACCTTCTCTTCATGCCAACTTTGTTGCTTTTGTTTCACCCAAATTTGTTTCTTCACTTGTTTCCATATTTGTACCCATTCTTCCTTCCACTCAAGCTTCTTCTCTGTCTTCCAGGCTTCAACTTTATCTGTCTTGTAATTAAGCTTCTTTTCGACCTTCCACTCAAGTTTCTTGTCTTTGCGCCATTCTTGCACTTTTTCAATCTTCCAATCTTGTACTTTTTCTGTAACCTGTAGGAAATAATAAATTTTATTACAGAATTGTCTCATAATATTATTATGAATAGAATGAATTGACCACGGAAGTTTTGAAGGCAACAAAGATGGCATTGAACTTGTTTTCTTATGTCTCAAATCATTTGAACGACAACAAATTTCTTTTGTTCCAAGAGACAAGAATTTATGTTTGTATTATTGTTCAAAGTGATGAAATCTTAATTAATATTTTATGACAATAATTTAGTTTAATTGTGTTGATTTTAGTGACATTTCAAGGTAATTTACGACATCATTATTATGCGTGAAATTGTAACTCACCCAATCTAACTTCTTCTCAATCTTCCAATCTTGGACCTTTTCAATCTTAAAGTCTTGAACTTTCTCAGTTTTATAAGCTTGAACTTGCTTTGTTTTCCACACTTTTTGCCATTTTGGTTTCCAGATCATCTTTTTGCGCCAAACATCATGGGCGGTGTACTCGTTGCCATGTTCGTCTTTACCGAGATATTTTTCACCAGGAATTCCTTCTTTGATGACTGCTGGCACCCAAATTTGTTTCCAATCTTCAACCTTTAAAAATGAGAAAAAGTTTTATATTTATTGTCAGTCAATGTGTCAATTTATAAAAAGCTTTTACTGTTGCATAAATCTCATAACATAAAACATAATAAGTGATGATTTTTAACATCATTAAAACTTACTTGGATATCTTTCCAGTACGGTACTTGGACTTCTTTCCAAATTGGCTTCTTAACTTCTCGCCATATGGGCACTTTCACCTAAAGCGTGAGACAGATTAATGTTACAAAATTTAATGGTGAAGATGATTCCTTACTGAATAGAAATTGATCAAATTTAAATTACCTCACGCCAAATTTCTTTTTTGACTTCACGCCAAATTGGTACTTTCACCTAAGGTCAAAGAAATGTTTAAAAAGAGATGATCAGTGATGATAAAAGTGAATCTGTAAGTTATGCTTAGCAATTGAAATAATTCGTTGATATTTAAATTTTAAGATGATGAAATCTGATGAGGATCGCAAATATTTCAATGACAGAAATGATTCAACATAATGAAATAAAATTTTCTAGACAAGAAATCATTGTAAAGAGAAAATAATTGTTTGTTCATCTTTTCTCATTATCTTCAACATGAAAAACGCGAAGTTTAATGGAAGAAAACATAATAACATTTGGTCTTTAATTACTCACTTCTTTCCAGACTGGAACGTCGACTTGCGTCCAAATTGGTACCTTAACCTGTGAGAAAGAAAATGATTTGTTTGTTTTAATTTATCATGTGAAAAAAGATTTCGCAATATTTGTTGAAATGAAAATGAAAGTGGTGAGTGCTATGGAGATGATGTTTCAGTACATTAATTTCAGTTTATGAAAAATGTTCATGTTGAAGCGATCAAAACTTACTTCAGTCCAATATGGAACTTGCACCTCTTTCCAATAAGGCACTTGGACTTCCTTCCAAATAGGCTTTTGAATCTTTTTCCAATCAGCGACCTTTTCCTCCTTCCATGCCGGAACTTCTTTTTCAATCCAAACAGGCTTCTTAATGGTCTGTGAAAAGCACAAATTCAAATAGTAAATCGGAAGCTTTGATTTTCAATCATGCCAATCACTCATTCAATCACGAAAGTTATGTTTTCAATGACTGAACAATTCTTATCGGTTATCGAATGAAAGTTTAAAACGAATTCTTATGCAAACAATGTTATGATTTAATTTCGATAAACAATAACATTTAATCGAAGGTTTCTCACCTTCCATTCAGGAACTTTGACATCTACGGTGATGGGAACTTCAACTTTTTTCCAAACGGGTACCGACACATGTTTATGTTCAGTTTTCCATATTTCCTAATTTGAAAATAAGAAAGCATTGAGTTGAATTATTTATCAAAGTTTGCCTTTTCTGCACAAATGTACATGAGTGCGAAAAATCACTTCCGATGTTCATTAAAAACACTTTTCACTGATTATAAAGATGATTTATGTTCGACACATTGAATATTAAGTTAAATAATTCTTAAACTGCTTTTGGAATTTCACGCAACGAATAATTTTCCCAGGAAAATTGTCGATTACTTAATTTAATTTAAAAGAATCAGTGAAAGCCTCAGATTCAATTGACACGTATGCAACATAACATTCGAAGTTATGTTGAACTTTTATTGTTCAATTACAAAAAAATGTGTCAGTAAAACAATGACATGCACTTTGAGGCTTTTAACAACAAAAACAATTCCTTTAACATCGTCACTTAATTTTTCGTACAATGCACTTTTGTTCGGGTAAAAATTTATTTCAATACTTGCCTGTTTCACTACTTTATAGTCTTTAACCCAATCATCTTTCCACACCAACTTCTTTTTCCAGACACCTTTCGGTTGGCTGTCGTGCTTTTTAAAGAATGTTGGCTCACAGATGACTACATTAAGTGTCACAAAAATAGTCTGTTGCAATAATTTCCATCATAACAAAGAGAAAAGAGAGAAAAGAATAAATTAATAATTAGACAGACTCATTTTCCATTAAAATTGAAAGTGAAGCATCTTCAAAGCATTGGCGGTTGTTATGCGTGGTTGTTGATTAATTCTTTTCTCTACTTGAATTACTAACAGCCCAGAACGACTGTGTAGAGTGTAAGTAAAGTTTAATCACTGAATTACATTTGTTTCCTAGACTTATTCATTTTTTTCTTTCGAGTCAAATTTTACGAGTGTTAAAAGTCATTAAAATTAATAGAGCAAATACAATCATTCGCGCGTATGTTAAGCTCATCTTATCTTCTTCAACACTTTTCCTTAATATTTATTGTTTCATCTGAGCTTTTTTTAATTAGTTTTCTTTTTCTTTCATTCACATTTTATTTTTATTTTCATCTTGCTCTTGTTTTGATGGCGCGATGTTTTTTTTTTTTTGGAAAATTTTATTTGGAAGAAACAAAAATTTCACTGCGATTGTTTTAGGGTCACGGCTTGATGTTATAAAGTAATTTCAATCACATTAACAAGCGTTTCACCTCTAAGTACTTATAAACAGTTTTCTATTCGCATAAATCACAAAGTTCATGTCGAATGTTATCCATTTTCATTTGATTGAAACTGCACATTAATCCAAATATTTTTCATTTCTTTGTTTTTAACTTTTCCAATGATTCTTGAAGATTTGAAGATTTTCACTTTCGTTGAATATTTTTTTATCTTTTACTAACCAAAATTGTTAACGACCTCATGATTATGGTCGAAACACTTGATTAAACTAAATTTAAAAAAAATTAAAGAATCTTTCGTGACCACTTTGGTCTTACGACTGTCAATGGGACTTGCTTTACAAATGGTTTTATACCGAAAACAATTTTTATTATTTATCTGCAAGCTGAGAGCGTTGTTGGTTTTTTCGTGTGCTGCGCTCTTAACCGACTGTTGTTGTTTTTTCATTTTTACTTCCATTCGCGGCATTCCATACGAAAAGGCATTTTCTTCGAGCAGTGGAAACGAAAATGAAGAAAAAGCAACGAAAAGGCTGAAAAATATTCATATCCAAGATATTTTGTACTCTTCATTTCTATGTAAGGCTTTCTTACAAGACTCAACAACTTGCGAGAGTTAGCACAGGTACAACGGGTCCGAAGTCTCCCCTCTCATCGATATGTTTTGTTTCTTTGATTTTATAAATAAATGTAATGTTTCTTCTTCTTTCTTTTATTTCGCATTTCTTTATATTTAATATTGCACATGCTAATAGTTGTGACTTTTATTTCCCACCTTGCGTTGTGATATCGCCCATCTGGTGCATCATTTCTTTCTTTCTTTTTCTTCATCAATTGCATAATGATATCAAGGATATTGCAACTTATATAATGAAAGCTGAAATCGACAGTTCAGAAATGTTTTCAGACACTAATAAGTGCTCTCAATTACAGCACACGTAAGGAGAGAGAAAAACATTTTTTTGTTTTTATGTTTCTCCAATGCAAATTTGTTAAACATTTGCATAAGATTTGTGCTAAGTTATTTCATACTCTACATTTTTCTTTCCACTTACTTTCATTCGTTGAATTTAGTTGATATTTAATATACTTCAATAACTTTAAAGCCTTTACGAATGCCGATAAGTTTTTCATTTTATTACAACTTACTTCAGTAATCTCACATTATGATTACAACGAGACGACATGACAACATGAAGCTACTAAGAAATTCTCTTTTCACATAACTCGACTGATCTTGCTCAATATTCGCAGATATTTATTTTCTTTGAAAGCGGCTTAATACATTATTCACGACAATTGACTGCTTAACTTTTGCGAGTCACAAGACATCATCAAATCACAAATGCAGATCACGACAATCGAATAAAATTTATGTCATCGCGAAAAAACTTTAATTTTCTGAATCACATTTGAAAAATTCATTTAAGACTCTTAAGTGAAGTGAATTTTCCACAGTGAGCGGAGATCGTTGTTTAATCCGGAACTATGTTCTGTGACTTGTTCATGTTTTTTAATTGTGTTGCAAATCTCTTGCTGTTCAAACATTTTCAAAGAGAAATTCCATTAGTATGAAATGTAGTCGAGTGACGTCGGACATGAGATGATTTTTGAGAAGACGAAATTAGAAAATGAGAAAGAAGAAAAGTTTCACGGGATCCACAGACATCACCCAAAGTCAATATAATTTTAAAAGTTCATTAAAGATGCTTCAATCGATTTAATGTGCAAAAATGGTAAACTAATAAGCATTATTGGAATAAATTGAACATAAAAATTGCGAAACTTTTACATAGAAGAAATGTTCGTTACTTCCCATCATTCACTTTTAGTCGAGTGACTTCTTATAAGTACGCGCGATACAAATGAAGCAATTTCAATTACATGAATATCTTACACTCGTAATTATTATTTCCAAAAACCTCTTCAATAATTTAATTTATTGCATTTTTATGAGCTGGTGATACACTAAAGTCAATTGAATAATAAATCGCTATTTGTTACTTGATTGCAAGTTTTGTACTTTGATGTTTCTCATAATTTCCAAATCTCTTTACCTTTGATTCATTTATAAAATTACCTTTAGAAAAATTATTTTTTTTGAAGACATTAAAAATTTCTCAATAACACAACGACAACAGCGAATTATGAAACAATTTTTTAATAGAGTAAACGAAAGAGAAAAGAAATAAAGAAAAATGATCAGAAGGAAGGAAATTGTATGAGATGGTATGGTAGTTGAAATGACATAATTTTAAAAACTTATTTTCTTTCTTCAAATCTTTAGTTGAGAAAATCTCGCCTGCTTGAAGATAATCTCATATTTCCCATGAAGTATTTTTACGCTTCTTTTTACATCTTCAAATTCGTCCAAGTTATGATGACTATCGTAACAATAATTTGTCTTATGTTAAATCATGCTCGGTTTGTATGTCAGCGTAGCTTGTTTCTTTTGTAAATGATGATTAGAAAGAAAGCGAATATCGTGACACGTCAGTAATTGCAGTATTATCAAACAAAAAGTTGACCGTTCAACGCCCAACTATTTGCGGTCACACAAAATGTTTTATTTATTTGTGATATTCACTCACGATTTCATTTATGCGGTTTTCAATCTTTTACTTCATTCCGGTTTTCCATTGCATATTTTATCCATCAGGAGTAATTTAAAGAAGCAAACAAGTCTAAGTATGTGTGTTAAGTAATAGCCAGAGTTGTTGGTAATGATGCTTGTCATTATTTCTATTATTTAGTCATAAATGATGAATGAGATTAGATAAAGATTTAGAAACATTTGCATCAACTGCGTTCATAACATCAGTCTCATCATCTTCAGATATGTTATTGAAAATATAATTTGTAGTTAAAGTTGAACTTTGGATATAAAATAATGTGGAAATTCCCTACACCGAATTTCTGCATTCCAGCTGTGGTGTCGGCATTTTCAATGGAATTCAAATCAATTCGATTCATTTTTTTTCTTTTCAATAGAAAAAGATACGCGTATGATTGTAAAGATATTAAATTATAATAGAAAACATTACTCTCCCTTTCATACAAAGATTACTTAATAATTTATGAGGTGCATACATTACAACAGAACAGAAGTCGAATTATTCAATTATCGAGTTACTTAAAAGTGCGAAATTGCCTGCTGCAAACAAAAGAAAGAAAAACAAGGAGATTGAGTTTTAAATTTCAATAATCCAGAAAACCACTTTCTAATGAAAACTATTCAAAGCATTTATTTTTCCGAACAAAATCAGGTCATAAAGACATGTTAAACTCTTTTTTGCTGCAAGCCACGTATCTAGGAAATGTGATAAACATTTTGTTTCAACTCAAAGACTTGTAGCAAGAGTGAAATTGAAGCCTTGCGGCGGAATCTATTGAATACCATACTATACCCGACAATTAAGCTTTGGGTGTGAAAAATGACCGATAACTTTGTTTTTTATGTCTAATGTCTTGATAGTGAGGTTTCATTAACTTGACATTAGTTCAGGTTGCAAACAGATCCTTTCCATCTTTTACTTACGACTTCAATTTGTTTGTTCAACTTTATTCTTCGTCATGCAACTTTTTTCTTTTATTATAACCGTAACTGACATAAAACAATCAATGACGATGAAAAGAAATGAAATAAATCGTTTAATGATTTTTTTATAGCGTGAACATTTTATATCAAGTGCAAGTATTTCTAACGATTTGTTTCATTACTTTGTCACTTTAAAGTGAAGTTTTAAGGTTGCTCTCTTATCCACCAATTAAAATCTTTTGTTTAGTCAAATGAGGTTTCAACACGCGATGATATAATTTAGGTGAATCTTTTATATTGTTTATTTTCCGTAAAATGTTTTCATCAGCACACATGTGAACTCGACAATTACTTGCTAAGCGGAAGCATGCCTCTGTTTTGTAGATTTTTTCAACTTACAACGAGCTCATGTTATAAGATAATTAAAAGTGAATCCACAATTGTAAATGTAGGGCTCGAGTGAGTCAGAAAGTAGTGTAGAAGTGTTTTTAGTTTTCATCGACTAAATATTTCTGTGAATTGAATTAAATTCAAGTCGTTCTTTTGTCTAAATTAAAAGTAAAATAAAGAAAAAACTAACTTCCAGTAGTTAATTAATGCAAAAGTTATGCAAGTTGTAAGCTGCGTGAAAGATGGTCTATTAAATGCTGTGAGGAAGAAAACGTCTCACTGGGTTGTTGATCATTGTCGGTAAGAAATTTGATTTCGAAAGTTTCTTTTTATTATTTTATTTTACTTGATGTTTGCGTTTTCATCTTACCAGATCATTAGATTAGCTGTGAAATTGAACGAGACAAGAAGAAGCAAAAAAGAAGTTGTTGATAAACTTGCAATGCATTGAATCGATAATAAATATTTTATGAGATCCACAATTGATGTTTGAGTAATTAGTGCAGCTTAAGCTATCCCGTTAATCTAGTTCACCTAGTTTTCCATCAAACATACATTGTTGCATTCAAATATCTATTTTGAAACATGTTTTTATCTCAAATTGTTTTCCATTTCATTACGCGAAAATAAAAACATTGAAATAAGCTTAGTAGCAAGTCGTGCTTTATAAATTAAAAAGCCTTCGCGATTTCTTCCCCGTCATTCGATTGTCGTGCGAATATTTTATGATAAATTTGCTCTCAAGAAACTTTTTGAATGCATGATGGAAGTGCAGCATGTTTATTTATCCATTTAAAACTTAATAGCAATTATCGTCTGACTTTTCATTCTCCAATCATTCCGAAGAAGATTATCATGCATTGACAGCATTTTAGCATCGCTTCTTTCAATGTAAAGTTTGCATTGCAAACTGCATGCATGTAGAAAGGAAAGGAAAAGTTTTGTTACATAATAATTGCATAAACTTCTGATGCTTTATTTTTATTTACGGTACGGTCTATAATGTGTGGTGATAAATCTCGGAGCAAAAAATGATTTTTTAAAAATCGATCTCGTTTCGAGGTTGAATGTTTTCACTTGAATGGTTTGCAAGAAAATTTTGTTTGCTTTCCCATGTTCCAACATTGAATAAGTTGATGTGTAGAAGCGGGATAGTTTGGATCGATTAAAAAAGCATTTCTGAAAGATTTAATGTGAGACGAAAGTTGCTTTCATCGAAAATCTGTCTTGTTGTTTAAAATCAATCGTTACTTGATAATCCAATATTTTAGTTAAATTAATGAGATTTTTTATATTCCATTTTATGAGTAAACGTCAAAAATTAAAGTAACTTTTCAACGTCGATGTCAATTATTATGCAAGAAAGTTTAATTTTATCTGATTATGTTCAAAGCTTTTAACTCCAGTGAAGATTGAGATGAACTTAAGTTCGGTATCATAAGCCAGCAATTGATCAACAGATGGTTGAAGTGCGTTAATCGTTTTCATATATAATTTCTCATTATTTCTCATACAGTAATTTACATCACGTATTCATTCATTCATTCTTTCAAATCAAAATCAACTTCCATTGAAAGACATTGAACGCAATGCTAGGAAACTTTTCCTTCAACACATGTTGAAAGTGAATTTTTCACGATTTTGACAAATGAATGTCCACGATTTTGTTCCAAATTGGCCGTCTTTTTCACCTTTGATTCTCAGCATGTTTGCAATTTGTCGCTCATATTATGTCTTTCCGCTGACGAAATTTTTTTTTAGACAATTAAGTAAAAAGTTATATGTTGATGATCAATCATTTTGCTTATTATAAATGGGATACGATCCAATTGAAATATTGTTTTGCACGCATGAAGTAGCCACAAGCGACAGATGTGAAGACAAGCGCGTGTATTGCAACATCGAAAATCAATTCTTCATGGCCTTTACATTCTTTTTGAAGATGAGATTGCATAACATGCGTCATTACAATTCTTCTTCAAGGTGTTGATTTTTCTATTCTCTCGTCTACACATTTCGAATCAAATTTTTAATGCGAAAATTAACTGAAAAGTTCAGACTGCAGACGACACAAACAATCTTCGCAGTTTGATTGACAATAAGTAAGAAAAGTGACAAGTGAAATGCTTTTTAAATGCCATGACTTTATTCACGCCTTCGGGAGTGCAGCGTAAGCACAAAAGATCAAAATGGTTACAGAAATTTGTTGAGATAAATTATGATTAGTTATGTTTTTTTGTTGGCATACATTAATTTCATATTTTCGTATCAATGACGAAAGGTAGTGACTTAACTTATGTTAGAAGATTTATCGATATCTTGAGGCATAAACGCTTAAGATAAACTTATAAAAGCACAGGTAAATCAAAATTGTCATTAAGAAAAGTAACTACAAGTATTGAGAGGAAAGTAAACAGCATTTAGCTATAAAAAGTTTCCGTAAAGATGCACATTAAAGTAGCCTAACAGGAAGTAATGCAAGTGACTTTCATCTTCTCTCTTCTTATATTGTGATTTATTGTTGTATGCAACGCTAACGTTAAACAAACTTCAATTCGATGCAAATACTTGAATATCATGAATTGCCATCTTTTCTATGTTTTTACTTCAGAGTGTTTATCTGTTGAATTTATTCGTGACTTAAATATCAGCAGTTACTTGTTGTTATTTACAATGATATTAACGAGAGGAAAATATTTCTCTATCGGAAATAATTTTATTTCAAAAAATTCATATTCAGCATTATTAAAAAACATTTAATAATTTCCTAGCTGAACATTGGTATTTAAAATTTTTAAAAGGAAGAAAAGGAAGCTCCAAGCTGATTAGACACAATTTTTATGAGAAAAAAGTTGCAAATTTAATGAGTACCTAAGATTTTATTGGTGATAAAATAAATTTTTAAGTAAAGTGTCGATGATATGAGAATCAAACATCGTTAATAAAATTGAAAAGGCATACAAATTATTCTTAATTGTTTCGCTTTGTTATTAAATCTCACTACATTGTAGAGGCTTTCGTCTTTATCTTTATATTTTGACAAGAGTTCAATAGAATAACAAAACTTTCATTATACATTTTAAACATTATAACAAAAGGCAAATTTATATTGAAAGTGTACACTTGTGATAAATGATTGCCAATTATTGTAAAATTCAATTATGATGGGAATAAGAAAATTCAAATAAACCGCAAATAAACGCTTGTTAAAGATTATTAATTAATGTCTTCATGGATCAATGCTATTTAAAATAATTGGCCTGAGCGGCTTAGCAGACCGATCATGAACAATGGAACTCTCTTGGTAAGTATCTTAAATGCTTGTTTTGATGTTCAATGATAAAGGCAAAACGAAAACACCGAATCCAATGTTGAAGTGAAATTAACATTACGTGAATTTGTATTATCGATGTCGTTACTAGTTACAGTCACTATTGCGGCAGTTTTAAAACAAGTCGCGCGTCAAGTGCGCCAAATTGCGTAAATAATGAAAAAACGACGACCTCAAAATATCAACCCGACGAACACTTTGTAACTTTTGGCTGATGATCAACATTCACATATGTGCAATTGCACGTAGGTAAATGTAAACATTCCTGTTGGTGAACTCATCACAATTTTTTATTTAAATTTTGCTTGTTTGATTCTTACATGAACGCAATTTAAAAATGTCAAGGAAAAAAGTTTTCAGCGAAAGCGAATGGATAATTAATTCCAAACATGATTACTGAAAATATTTTAAATTGATATTGATTTCTGGTTAATTTCGTTTAAAATTGAAAAACATGTTTAACCAGAAGTTTCATCACCTGTTCCTGTGTAACTTAAGACGATTAACTGAAAGCATATCGTGTAAATGATGGCCTTGGAATGCCTCATGTTTGAGTAATGCTTATGGTTTTTGGATGAAGCTTCCAATCTCACTAAAGCCATTAAAAAACAATTATTGTCTCAATAACAATAAAAATTATCGAAAAATTTCTCTCTTGCTATAAAGTGAAAATGTTTTTGGAAGATTCAAAATTTATTAGCGATTGCTTACTTTAAAGTAATTTGTCTGTTTTATCATCCTTGAATATTCATAGCTGTCTACAAATAGTTATTGTACTTATGGCCATAAGAAAAGGTTAATATTTTAATACGATAATTGGATTAACAATTGATGTCAACATCACGCATCTCTACCTAAATGTATGTCGGGAATTTAAAGATAAATAAGTCAACAAAGAATTACAACGTGTGAACCTTAATCACCATTCATGACAAATGAATGTTAAGTAACATCTACTTAAGTGCGATCAAGAATAATTACTCTGTTGTAATGAACGTTTATTTTTTACTTAATACAAAAATTTATTTTATTTTTTTCTCTTCTGATGTTATCGACGTCCATAGAGATGGATAATAAAGTGAAAGTACTTCAAGCCTAGCGATAAAAATCAACTTTTATTTTTTTAAAAGACCATTGTCATGAAACAACTTAAAATATTCTTTACCTTTATTAAAAAGACGTATTGTCCGTAGTGACAAATTTCTTAACATTTCGTGAAGTTGAAATGGAAACGAAACAATCATCCATTGACATGTTATGTCACCTTATTGAAGGAAGGTTTTTTAATTCAATTAATTTAAAGTGGTTTCGGCGTATAAGCCATTTTCCCACTTGCTACTAATAGTAACTATCAGTTTTTATTTATACTGAAGGGCCGAACTGAAATTATACGCCCGACTATTAGCGACTTAAGCCAATAAGCTATTTGACCCCATGGAAACTTAATTAAACAATTATATTGTTTACCAGAAGCTATAAAAACTAAACAACATGTAAAGACAATTCAATTCAATAACAATTCGTAATTGCAAGATTTGCTGTCAAAAAAACTTTTAAAATAGAAGAAGAAACTTTAACGGCCTTGACCTTATCTTAAGATTTACAATACGACGTCAATAAAAAAGCAAAATTTTTATGCATTTTTTATCGCATCCAAAACGAGAACATATATTTTGTTGCATCATTGAATAAGAAAAAAAAAATTATGTAACTTTATCTGGTCTTGCTATTCTTGTATTCCGTATATGAAATGAGAGATTTTTTGTGCTACGCGAAAAAAAGTGATTGTTGGTGCATTAAAATAACTACTTTCACTGAAGTAAGGCTTCTCGTCTCATTGAAGAAAACAACAGAAAAGAAACAGACATGTAAGGAAAAAGAAATTAAATCTCTTCCGACATTAAATGGCAACAGCAATTCACTCTCTTTGAAACTTGCGAGTATTCATTCATTCACTCTCTTTTGTACATAGATTTATGCTGAAAAAGCTTTCGAAAGCTCATAAAAGCATAAAAAGCTTTTCATTTCTTAACTGAAAAGCAATAGTGGAAAACTAAAAAGTTGCCGATGATGACGATGACAATGACTAAAAGCTTTTTTTAAAGTTTAAAACAAAATTTAAACAACTGTTTATTTGTGTCTCTTCATTTTTGGCTGTCTCTAAATTAAAAACTCTACTTTACTGAATTCTTATAATTAAGGCGTTAATGACTCATTTAAACCAGAAAGGTTATTCTTCTAAATTTGTTCTACGCTACAGGTGGTTTATCAAGACTTAATTTCTACCATTTTTGTCCAAATGATGCCATTGATGGAACAAAACCGGAATGGCCATGGCCGGAATCTCCACCATGTCCGCCACCGAGATCATGTCCTCCGAAGCCACCGCCTCCATGGCCTCCGAAATCGCCTCCTCCAATTCCTTCATGGCCACCACCGAAATCATGGGATCCACCTCCATGGCCACCGAAGTCTCCGCCGTCATGACCACCTCCGAAACCACCTTCATGACCGCCTCCGAAGCCACCTTCATGACCACCTCCATATCCACCATCATGACCTCCACTTAAGCTTTCATGTCCTCCGTGGCCTCCGAAGTCTCCCCCTCCATGACCTCCGAAATCTCCGCCTCCATGGCCACCTCCGAATCCTCCGTCATGACCTCCGAAATCTCCACCTCCATGACCACCTCCAAATCCGCCATCATGACCACCTGAAGGAAAATATTTACATTAGTTGCAAGTTTCAATGGAATAATTAAGAGATTTTTAATTGTTGTTTGTTTCATGTCTGACTATTAATTTCAAAGTTTTAACGAACCTCCGAATCCACCATGTCCGCCATCATGACTTTCTCCTGAAATAAACATTGCAATTAACTTTTTGTTACGACAAAATAATTTATTGCGAATTAATTGCCATTTCTTTTTATGGAACAATTAATTGCAAAGTCGGTAACGTACCTCCAAATCCTCCATGTCCACCTTCTTGGCCACCTGAAATGAAGATGTCAATCAATTTTTTTATGCTTTAAAATCGCAATTTGTCGCATTTGATACAAGAAATTTTCAAAGAAATGCATCATAAAAAGTGATTATTTCAAGCCTTTCTCTTTGCGAGTTTAAGTTTGGACTAAATTTATTTAGGAAATGATGGAAATGTAGAAAAAACTCTCATTTCAGTTTAATTTAGAGTAAAAAAAAATTACTGATACTCGAAGTTATGTAAGGAAAGCTTGTTTGATTCTTTCTCATGAATTTAATTTAAATTTTAAAGCTTTCTAAGTAATGATGATCAACATGATTGAAAGCAAATTCTAACAAAATATAAAAACCCAAAACAAAAGTTGCTTTAATTTCTCATCCATACCTGAAACATAAACTTGTGAGTTAGTGTAAAAGAAAGTGTTTATGAAAAATGTGTAAGGAAATCAGACTCTGAAGGAAACAGCTCAGAGTTTTTAATTTTGAATAATTTTATTATTCGTAGCTTGCATAAAACTTTCATGATGATTTCATGTTTTTTAACAAGATTGGTATGGATGAAAAATGATTACAAATTTTGTTTATCGTCGAATGGATCATGAATAACCTCGAAAACTAGATTAATGAAATCAATATTTACCATATCCTCCATCATGACCGCCTCCATATCCACCATCATGACCGCCGCCAATGTCACCGCCTCCATGACCACCAATATCACCTCCATGACCGCCACCATCACCTCCATGTCCGCCACTTGATTCGTGATGAACATGTTCTGATGAATGAACTGGGAATTTATGGACTGGGACAGCATGGATTTGTTGCTTTACAACAACTGGGTAGGGAATTTTGATTGGGACTTTTACGGGATAAGGAACTTTGACTTCTTTAACGACAGGAACTTTCACAATTTTGTATTCAGGAACTTTTTTGTAGTGATGTTTATGGACGGTGTGGATAGGAACTTTAACGCTTCCAATATGGTGGGATTCACTGATAATATTTCATTTATTAATTTCAGAATGATATTTTTTTCTGTGGTGTTTATTGTTAACACTTACTGTCCACCTCCTCCCCCTCCTGGGGTTGGCATTGCACTTGCGGCAGCCACAACACAGGCTAGCACAATTAACTGAAAATCATTTTATGTTGTCATTAAAATCCAATATAAATAATATTACACAATATTTTATTTGCACTCTGCTCAACTCACACTAAATCTTGATGCCATAATATATGAAAATTTCTTTTTTTCTTTGACACTTTAACCCAACTTGCTTCTTGTCAATGCGTTTGAATTATGATTGCCAATATGGGAAAAGACTCAGCTTTTATACCAAAATAATGGCTCGCATTAAACAACAAATATTTTAGATGCGATTTGTGGAGTTTTGGTACAGTTCCCACCAAAAAACAGATAAAATGCTTTCGACTTTTTCTTTCCATTGTCGTAAGTATATTTGGCGAAGTACGAAACAAAAAAAAAGAGTTGAGCATGAAAGAAGAAATTGTGAGCGCACCTAAATTCATACGATTTCAAGCATATTTCGAGTTTAATTTATTTATTTCTGTACCAACGTCTACGGAAGGAGAAGTTCGATGACCAATTGCTCTGAATTAAATAAGTGAATGTTTTCATTTAATTTCAATATAATACATATAACATCCGAGGAAATTTAGCCCTTTTCTTGCAGTTGATTCACTTTTTAATGACTGATAAAGAAAGTAAATTATCAGCAGTACGTAACTCATTATGTTGACGTGTTGCAATTCTTATCTTGATCGAAAGCTGTTTATTGTTACCCAAAATTGATCCATTGTTGTTTCTTCTTTTTCTTATTTTTTTAAGGAAAATAAATCCAGAAATAAAAAGTTAAAGGCTGACAGATCTCTCATTGTTATTAAAAATCTATCACGGTTCATTGTTAAGATGTTGGCAGTGGAAATAATGTAAGTTGAATTCACATGCAATGAAGTAGCAAAACTTTAGTCAGCCTGATATTTTCTTAGGTAAGACATAAATATACTGACAGGCGTGAACCTTTGACGCTTTGAAGACATAAATCATAGGAGGCATAAGTTATACTGTTAGCAAAATTTTACAATCGTAATTCAAAAACTAGATGAATTAAACAGTAAAAACAGCGGAAAAAATCCAAATCATCATGAACACACATCGTTATTATAAGAAAGTATTACCGGCTATGTCATATTTAATAATCTCGGTTCATTGACATGACATGATTTTTTTGGAACTATGATGCAATTCAAAAAACCCCCTTAGGCTTAATTAAAATCTATACACTCTTTTCTGTTACGACATTAAAGAACGGAGAAAGTAAACACATATACCGATGATCATTACACCCAAACCTACGTTAACGCAAAATATGTGTTTTTGTTGTTTGATGCGTTTGGGAGTTTTAAGTTGATTGAGTAAATTTATTAATAATAACATGCGTTCAATTTCAAGATTTGTAATAAAAGATTTATTTGGATTTTCTTTCAAAAGAAAAAATTAAATAAAACTGTTACTAATTGTGTGGTCATTTGAGTAAAATATTTCAATTTAAATGAGTTTAAATATTACAATTTTAATCAATTAAATGAAATAGTTTCACTTAATTTAATGGCGATGCTAATAAAGGAATTATTAATTTTTCTATTGCCCTTTGTTGCATTCTCAATTTTATAACTTTACATTGATACAGAAATCAACTTAATTATCTACTAATTAATGAAAATATTATCTCTTAATTTATCATGTATTTAATAGGAAGCAAATTTATTTAAAACCTCTTCCAATTCAGTACAAAAAGCCCAAACAATGGAGACGTTTGTCAATGGTCAAACAATGCAACAAAGGGATTTTTTTCACTACAAATCATAATATTTTTATTTCATTCGGAAACTTTCAATGGGCTTTTGAAAATCTTTTAATCTTTAAGCAAGGTTTGAATCTCAAAACTTCAAACCACTTAAAATGTCTCAAGAGCCATCATAGTTTTTTTATAAAGTTTCGATAAAAAAGCTTCGAAGGTAAAAGCTTCTCAAGTGCAGTCATAGTTGTCATAGTTTTGAGCATAAATATTTTTGTATGTTTCAAACTATCTTTGTAACTCCTTTAGCATAAGTTCGACGGTGTTTGGATGTTTCTTATATTTCTTTCGAACTTTACAAGACTGATTATGTTCATAAGATTGATTGATTAAAGATCATGTCCCATATTTGCCAACATCAATTCCTTTCTTTTTAACATTTAATTAAATACCAAGGCTGAATTGAGATCAATGGATTTATTGTTGAAGATTTTTTTTCTTAAATCTATCAGCAAAAATTTTGATCACCTCTGGATTTTCAATGATGATTTGTTGATTTTATTAAACAAACATTGCACAAAATATTTTTTGAAATCTTTCACTTAATTTTGGGCTTCACAAATTTTGATTGAAAATGTCAAGCACCTTCATTCATGGTCTAGCAGCTGATTAAAATGAATTATTGAATAACACATTTCGGTATTTTGATTGTAATTGCTACACCATGATGAATTAAATGTAATTCATTATTCATCATCTTATAAATTTATACAGGAAGACATGAAAAATTAAGTTGAGATTGTGGAATAAGAAAGAAACATTATCGGTTATTTGCGTTGACATTTTTCAGTCATTAACTATATTTTCTAAAGATATTTTGTGATGTCAAAGATGTTGGATAAATAAACATTCAATTTTCCTGCTTTAATAAACAAACAAGAAGAATTTCAATTCAATCCTCGTTTATGTTAATCAGCTGTTTGTATTAACAATTAAGTTAACTAAATGAACGAACTTTAACTGTTAATCATTGTTGATAATCATGAGATTACATTTAATTTGAATCAAGTTTCTTTTTCTTCAGGAAGCTTGAATAAACTCCTTAAAATCGTATGAAACATTTCAAAACTTCGTAGGCAGATTTCTTTTAATTAACTACAAAAAATGATGTTTTGAGATCAAAAAGCTTTTAATCTTCACCACATGAGGTTAGTGGAAACATTTTCATAATCATCTAAGCGTAATCTTAGCAATTATCCAAATGCTTTCATGAAATTTGAATATTTAAAAGTAAAAAGACAAAAATTTATTTTTTTAAATCGATTTTATTTGAAAGGAACAAGTGACAATGAATAATAAACTTGAGTATTTAGCAAAAGTTTAACATCACAAACATTATTATTAAGTAGATTTCGTGGCTTTCAGATATTTACATGAAATGGTCTTAAAATATTTATTTTAATGAGAATTATTCGATGAGAGTTTCACTTGAGAATGTGAAAAATTAAAACTCATAATTATGAGGCAGGAATTCAAAAACTTGATGTTGCGGATTCCGCTGATTGGTAGTAAATGCGTGCAATGAAGATTCATTTATGTTCTTTGAACATTTTACCATCCTCCATGGCCTGAACCACCTCCATAACCGCCACCTGATGAACCTCCATAGCCACCTGATGAACCTCCATAGCCACCTGATGAACCTCCATAACCACCTCCGGATGAACCTCCATAACCTCCATGTTGGACTTCTGAAGTGTGGACTGGATAATGTTCAACTGGGACGGTGACAACATGTGGCTTCACAACAACTGGGTATCTATTGAGAAACATTTCAATTAAATTTTTTCATCTTTCTGTTGTTATAAATTTCAAAACTTACGGGACTTTGACGGGGACATGGACTGGGAATGGAACCTTGACTTCCTTGATGACTGGAACTTCGATCTTCTTGTAGACTGGATATTTCTCAACATGATGATGATGGACAGTGTGGATGTGGTATGGAACTGAGATCTTGACATGTTCGCTACAATTATAAGAAATCATGTCAAATCAAATGTCTTAAGATATTGCAAAATTGTGATTTGTAATTCATCGCTGACGGCGTTCAAAATTTCTGAACTTGAATTAATACATCATTCAAACTTGAGATGAAGAAAAAATTATTTAACATTTTCGAGTAAAGTGAAGTTATAAAATTCACTTTCAGTAACCTCGTCATTAAAGTTGAAAAAACTGCCAGACAAAATGGACTAAATAAAGATAGCGAATGATTTTAATTAAGCATGAATTGACTGCACTGAACCACTTTCACAGCATAGCTCATGTTGCGATGAATTAATTAAGTGGATTTTTATTTTGTTTGTTTTTCTTTCTTCGTGATTTAATTTAAGTTGAACACGAAAATTGTTTTCGTCACATAAACGCTGCGATCTTGTCAATGTTTAATGTAATGAAATTCGCTCGACATGCATCCATGCCTTTGGGAAATTTACTATTCAATGATGAAATCAGATGATGAGTATCATGTTGTAATTATGTAATTTGAAGATCGAGTGCAAAAATAAACCGTAACAAGTATTTTTGTTTTCTGTTTTTGGCAATTTTTCTTAATTCGGCTTTCACTCGGTCAGTAGTCACGTCTTGATATTCGATAAATAATGCAATGCTGTTGTTCTCATACCAACTGGATTGTAGACATTCAAAAGTGATTGTCAAATTATGCAATATCAAAATATTACGGGAGTTTTATGAACTCAAACGCACTTTTATTAATAACAACAATAACAAAGACAAAGTCATAATTTAGTTTAATTTTTTCTCTTTTTTGTTTTTGTTTCTGTTTTGTCGGTGAGGTGAAGATAACAACTTTCAAAATAAAATTGACTTCATTTCTAAGTATTCGCGATGGTAACAAGATCTTGTTGAAGTTTGATTCACTCAGGGAAAGTTTACGTCATCATGGATCGGAATAGAACGTAATTTAATAAATGAACTAAAGCATGAGTCAGTTGAAACATTCACTTCGATATAATTATTGTAATCTTGAAATTATAATTTCTGATCTCAACTTTTCACTCTCTTTTAAAGTGGAAATAATTGATAAACATGCAAATGATGCAGTTAACGCACCACTTTCTTTATATTTCATGAACTATCATTAAAAAAGGTGATGAAGTGCATCAAATCAAATGGAATTTGTCATTGTCACAATCACCTCAATTTAAATTTCATTAAAGAATTTAAATATTTTCTAAAAAGGCTTGTTGAGATCAAAGTAGATCATTGAACAATCACAATTGGAATATTTTCATCCAAATTGAACTTTCATTACTTTCACGATTTTTCTCCGAACTAAGAACGTTTTAAGAACGTTGTTGTTATAAGAACTTTTAAAACAGTTAACTTACTGTCCGCCACCACCATGACCTCCTGGAGCAGCTAAAGCAGCTACCACACAAGCGAAGAAAGCAATCTGTGAACAATTACAACAAACAAATCCTTAATTTCAATAAAAATCCTTTTTCACTTCACTTTGTAAATTTTTTTCCTTACACAAATTTTTGCTGCCATTTTTCTTAACTTTGAGTTTATTTTTATTTTTTAGAGAATGAGCTGTTTACTCTTGCTGATGAGTTTGAACTATGATTGCTAATATGACAAAAGCCTTGCTTTATATACCATAAAGAAAATTACTGCGTTGCAGACCATACAATTACTCACTTGCGATTTGGAACCGAAAACAAAAATTCATCCACCCCACCGAAAGCATTTCGAGAAAAAGTTGTGTTGTTGTTATTGCAGTTTCTTCTAAGATGAAGAAAAGATTTTATTAACAAAATATTTTCAGACGTGCCAGGCTACCGTAACGAGACGTGGTCAGAGCCTTCGAATTTTGTTCGATTATAACTTAATTTAAACTCAACACACGCCTACAAATTTATTTCTCAAAAAAATAAACAAAGAAAACCGGCAGTGAAATAAATCGACGTAAATCGATGGTGATTTATTGACTTATAAATCTACTGAGATAAATGAAAAGAGATAGCAAACAAGAAGTGATAGTAAAAAAAGCAAAGACCTGTTCAAAGATCATTCAATTGTGCTTTACTTTAAATTCACTTTCAGTGAGAGATAATAGAAATTTATTAATTTTAAGTACATTAAACGGACAATAATAACAGCAACTCGACCTTTTTTTTCTATCAAGTCAAGCACACTTGATCTTAATCAATCAATTTGCTGATTGCTGATAGCATTACACAGCATTTGTTTTGAGCTAAGCTAATAAGTATTCAGTTTTTGTCGTGTCATTGCTCTGATGTGTAACACAGCAATTAACAAATTAAATGTTGAAAATTGCGCAACAATAGTCTCAATTATTTCGCATTTGTTGAACCGAACCTGAAGTAATTCATTTTTTGTTTATTTGTTTTTTTTTGGCGAAAGTAAGCAAAGAATGCAATTACTGGAACTGAAAATAACTAAATAAATAAATAAATAGTTGACTTCGTTTGAGCATATATGAACGATTATTGATCGTTAATCGATTGAATCCAAGACAGAAAAATATCTTGCAAGCATGTTTATGTCGATTTAAATTGAGGAACATTACGAATTACAATTCAAATCATAGAGAAGTAGAAAACTTACTTAATGTATCATTGTTAACAATTTTCAAAGTTTTCTTCTTCAAAGCTATTATCGCTTGTACAATGAAATTGCAATTAGTTTTTAAGCTCACGTCGGCTTGCTGCCATCGGTCGTCATTTCGTGTCTATAACTTTTGTTTTTTGTCTACGCATAGCAAATCAACACGCAACCCATCATAGACATGTCACTTACTGTGACTGTTTTTTCCTCTCATGAGTTTTACTTAAATGTCTGATTGTGACAATAGGGGACAATTTCTTACGCAATACATAAATATTTAGATAGCCGTAACCAATTAAATGGAGCATTTAGGAGACGCAATCAATCTGGGGCTACCTAAATTTATCTAATACATCGAAAGAAATTATTTGTTGCTCTTTGTGAATGGATTAATTTCTTTATTCACGCCAAGAGAATCACGACTTTTATTTATTAGTGCTGCTGCTGGAAGTTAATCAAATCACATCCAACTTCAAAAATTTGAATCGTTACGCATTTTTCTTATATATTTCACTTTCATTCTCATAACGAGTTTTTAATTGTCGATGCTTCAAACATCTGAAAGAAAAAGTATTTCTTTAGGTGATTAGATTGCAACATTCTTTGAATTAATGGCGAAAACATTCGTGATGACTTGAGAAGAATAAAAGGCGAGAAATTTAGAGGATTTGATATCATCTTAATCTGTTAATGCCTCAATTAAACCGACGAAAAAATCATAATAAATACATTTGCGAATGTTTATTGCATTATTACCGCATAACTTTTCTTCCGCGACTTTATTTCGCACAATTATTCAGAGTATGAATGTTAACGTGATCGTTTAGTTATACTGCACTTGTCGCATGTTAAATGACTGCAGAAAATTATTTGCTGTCTCTAACATTGAACTTCAAATTTCTATTAAGTTGTCATCGCTAAATGCTTAAACATTTTAAATAAATCCACCTCAAAGTTATATCATTTTAAGTGGAACAATTAATGACTCGCTTAGTAATTTTTTCTCTTATTCAGAAATGTTTTACGCTTCAATTTAAACTCGCGAGTGTATATGCATTATGGCCAGTAATTTGAATAAATGCAACATAAATTCAAGAAGAAAAAAATAATTTGTTTCATAAGATATAAATTTTTTGGGTAAAAACTTAATTACACTCGATGCATAATTTTTGAAATTTTTCATAAACATTTTTTAACTGCACAGCATTCACCTCGTTAATTCCTTTTTTTGTTTGCAATTTGTTGATGGCCATTGGGTCGTCGAACTTCACTAAGGTGCGTGAATAAATTTACTCAATAATCTATGAACAGAAATGAATCCAAATCTCTATTAAATATTTCTATGGACAGGTATTTCAATAAAAAGAGTTGTTTGATTTGATTTGATTTTTTTTTACCTATCCAATTTTTATTTTGATTATTTTTGGAGCCACTAAATTGCATCGGCTTTTAAGTGTTTAGTCGAAACAACTGTTGACCTACTTCAAAGAATACAATCAATTAAACGCTGCTGTTAGACGCTCTTAGACGTTGATTTCTGTTTTGTAGATTCATTGCATTTGAAGGATTCTTCAAGGGCTGTTGAAATTTGAAAGGATGACGAAGGATTGATGGTACAGCTCAAACTCCTTTCGAAAAATCAAAGAGAGGTTGTCGAGTTCATATGGGCCAAGCTCAAATCAATCATGACAAAAAAATATCCGCCGATGTTGGATTGCGGCTGAAGGAATTCAAGCAGGAGATTGATTTTGAATTAATGCAACTTTAGACTTTCATAATATTTTTGCAACAGATCTCAATTGATTATCTGAGTTTTTCCTACAAAAGATCAGCAACCTAAGATCTTATCGCAATGTATATCTCGCACCAGAAAACAAAGTCAAAAAAGTTTTGATGAATGAATACGAAACAGAAGCACAAGCGTGAAGACAATTGCTGAAAGTGAAGTGGTACTAGATTTGAAACTAGATGCGTGTTAGAATTTTATGAATGAAATAAGCGAAAGCTTTCACTCGAAACTTTGTTAGATATTTCTCTTCAAAGTTAAAATACGATAAAACGATACTTTAGAGAAGTTTTAAAAGCAACATGCAAAAGTGTTNAACCTAAAATATTTGGACAATTAATTGGATCGGCAAAAAACCCAAATAATCGATAACCCTAACTCGAAACTTTGTTAGATATTTCTCTTCAAAGTTAAAATACGATAAAACGATACTTTAGAGAAGTTTTAAAAGCAACATGCAAAAGTGTTTGCAAAGAAAATCTTCAAGTTTTTATTTAAGCTTAAAAATTTTAACTTGAATGATTCATTTGAAATGTTATGAATTTTTAATAGCTTGAATCAATATTTTCTCTGTCAATAACTTGTTGAACATTTGAATGTTTGACATTAAAATTAAGTTGAGCTTGAAGGATTTAATTTAAGCGATTTTTGTCTTAAATAACTTTTATAAAATTCAAAATAAAATAAAAAATGATTTTTATCAAACAAAATTTTATTACATTTATTAATTAATTTCAAGACTAATTTTTACTTGTACATTCAGTAATTCTAAACATCACAAAAATAAACAAAAAAGATAATAAAACTCGAATAATTTCAAATATTGGCTTAACAGTTGTAATTGCTGATGTTTGCTTCTCATCTGTAATCAATGTCATCATCGACATCAGGTAATCTGATTTTTGGTCCTGCCAAGATCAAATATATTGACAATACTTTATTAGTTAATTAAAATTATTTAGGAACTTAATTAAACACACGAAATTGTAATCCTGGGAAACCCGGACATAAGGCGGGAAAAAATTGGGTTAATTGTCAGTCATTACCACATCCAAAACACACAAATTAGTAGTTAAAAACAAACGTTTGCGAAGGTGGTTTAGGCCTCGAATGTCTCTTACGTTTCTTACTATACGCCCAATCTTCATCCCAATGGGGTTTTGACTCTTTGATTGGAATTCCAATGTGAACTGTTTTTACTTTCGTTTTCGTGATTACATGAGTGTGATGTTTAACAGGAACATGAATTCGAACTCTGGGAAAGAAACATTATGTAATATTTATGCTGCTTTGTTTTTGTTTTTATTTTTTAAATCGAACTACCTTTGATGTGACTTTCCTGGCGCAGAGAGTACGGAAACGACAATCAGAAGGAGAATAAAAACTGACGAAACGATCTGTTAATGGTAACAAAATTAATGCACTTTTACTTTCAAAAAGGTTCAGTTAAGGAAAGTAATTTCATCGAAGTTATCAATGACATTGAAACTTACAATCTTTATACATGACGCCATCACCAATTTTAAGGATTTTTATGAGTTTTTTGTGACTTTCCTTTCAAATTTTTCACTTTTAATCTTCTTTCTTTTCAATGTAGATACCAAAAAAAACACAAACGGAAATTCAAGTCTTCACTCTCAAGGTTTTTGTGTTCAAATGTGGCGAAATGTCGATTCAACGCAGGTTTTTATAACATTAACTGAAATTTCATCCATCGCAAAGTTTTCCGCCAAAAATAAGCATTAATTTCATTTTAGGTGGAAGTGATTTACTAAATCTTTCACCAACACATTTTTGATCTTTGATTTTCATTAAAAAGATGAAAGAAAATCCGGTAATTGTTTTCTTTTACATATTTTTGTGAAGTTGTTGGTGGAGTTAAATGTAGCTTGATGTTGAAGATGTGTTTGTGAATGTTAAAGCGGAAGGAACGAATTAGCTTGGTTCACTTGCAAGCTCACACAGAAATTAACTTATTAATAAATATTTGTTTCACAGATATTTACATTACAGTTTTAACTATTCCAGTGCTGTACTTAATTTGGTAATTTTCCAACCGGTTGACTTTTACTTAGTTGATTCATTTCCGAAAATAAAAGAACGGTGGCGATCGTCAGATTATCAATATATTGTTGAGCGAATTTTTTGTTCCATTCATTTATTATAACAATGGCGATGAAGTCTTGCGCAATGTCTAGAGAAATGCTTACAATAACTTTCCTAATTTTTTTTCAAGCTCAAGGCAAGCCATTAGCTAAAGATCAAACATAATTGTTTCACTTATTGTATATTAAACAATTTTAAATTAAAATTTCAGATTTCAAATCAATGTTTTTCTATTTACCTGCTGTTTAACTTGTTGTGACTAATTAAGTTTGATTTGTAGGGCTTTAAACATCAGACGTATTTATTACAATGCAATGGCGCTTCTGTAACTTGTTATCTCTCCTTGTGTAGTTAAGAAATTATCTTTCAAATTATGTATTTTAAGAGGATTAAGCTTGCCTATGAAATTTATTACATTCATATGTACATGATTAAAAAAATATTACATAACTTTAAACGAAAGGGAAAGACGATATATGTGAATGATTTCATTGTTGATTGAGTAAAAATTTGCACATCACGTTACGTTAAGTAATTATCTCAGATTATTAAATATATTAACGTCATCTTCACAAGTATGTTGAAAGGAAATTTCACCAGATTTTAAAATTAATTAAAAACGAGCATGACCCTACGATTATGAATGCTGATTGTGAATTTTGGCAATGACTTCTGGAATATTTCTTTAATTAAATAATGGAATTTATCGAAAAATAAAAGTCATCTTCCTGTGTTTGAGAGAATTGAATCATAATCGAAGGTTTCTGCTGTTACGCAAGATGAAATTTTCTGAAATTAGCAATTCCAAATTATAGTGTTGTGAGATTAGAAGCGGAAAAGAAAATTTTATTCGAAATTTAATTTAAAACGAAACACTTTCATCAATCTTTATGTTTCTCCATTAATATTTATATTTTTTTATTTATTTTACAAAAGCTCGTAAAGCTTTAAGAGCAAGAAAAGCTTTTTCTGAATATTTTTCATAAAGCTCAAAATGGAAACTGTAAAAGATCATTTTCAAAGTATTAATAAAAGTTTTTAAATGTCATTTGTGCTTTACAGAAGCTTTTTCTTTATTATTGCAAACTTTTAAGTATTAAATTTAATTTTTAATATCAAGTTTAATTGGTGAATTTTTTCGATAGGCTTTTCGACAAATCTCCTAAATATCTGTAATAAACTTAATTTAATTCCCATTTAAATAATTTCTCCTATGCTGTCACAATTTAACATCTCACAGCTTCATTAGTTTCAATTTAAGATGAAGTTGTAAGAAAAATTATTCTTTGGATTTCATCATGATACTTTGATACCAACAAACACGGCAAGACACTTAATGGAAGTGAAATGTCCATTAGTATCTAAATATCATAAAAATGATAAATGAAACATCTTATAGTAAAGAGATTTGTTTGTAGTAATGTAATGGCTTATTTTTATTGCCCTTTTTAAAAATGATTTAAAGCGGAATTCATAAAATAGAAAAGTCATAACAATATGCTTTAACATTTAAGAGCAACAGTAATCAACAAAGTATATTTAAAGTATTTACATTTACAACAATACAGGATAGTAACTATGACTAATATTTGAAAATTAAGAAACCATTCAATCACACAACAAAGGATCAGTCAGTCTGATAATAAATAAATTGTTCAGAGGAATTTGTAGTTTGGATCTACTCTAGCTTAAATAAATTTTGTTCTCTATGGTTTTAATATGGATACGGGCCTCCGCCGTGACCAGATGGAATGGGACTATAACTGTCAACTCCTTGATAAGATTCTCCACCATGCGATCCTGATGAGACTTGCCAACCTCCATGACCACCTCCATGACCGCCTCCACTACTGCCGTAATCTCCTCCAAATCCACTAGAAAATCCGCTTGATAGGTGTTCAATTCCACCACCAGAATGCCCATGGCCACCGCCAATATCACCGCCGCCGAATCCATGGCCACCGCCAATGTCGCCACCGCCGAATCCATGACCACCGCCAATGTCGCCACCGCCAAATCCATGGCCACCACCAAATCCATGGCCACCGCCAATATCACCACCTCCAAATCCATGACCACCGCCGAATCCATGGCCACCGCCAATATCACCACCGCCAAATCCATGGCCACCGCCAATGTCACCACCGCCGAATCCATGGCCACCACCAATATCGGCACCTCCATGACCGGAATGACCACCGCCAAAATCTCCTCCGCCAAATCCATGACCACCAATATCGCCACCTCCATGACCGGAATGACCGCCGCCAATATCACCTCCGCCAAATCCATGACCACCAATATCACCACCTCCATGACCACCTCCATGACCGCCACCTGATTCGTGATGAACATGTTCTGAAGAATGAACTATTCCATGACCACCGCCAATATCACCGCCTCCATGTCCACCGCCAAATCCATGATCATCACCTCCATGGCCACTCCCAAAATCACCACCGCCAAATCCATGATCCCCGCCTCCATGACCACCGCCTCCATGACCACCGCCTCCATGACCACCACCAATATCACCACCGCCGAATCCATGGCCACCGCCTATATCACCTCCGCCATGACCATGACCGTCATGTTCATCATGTCCTCCAGAATGTGTTACATGATATTGATGGGATTCTTCTTCATGAGGTTGAATCAAATGAATTCTAATGTGAACGCTGTTGTTGAAATAAATAAAATTTGTTCTCAATTAGATTTCAAATTATGCACAAAATGAAATATTTTCACTTACTGTTCTTTTCCACCACCACCGAATGTAGGAACTGGCGCTGAATGGCAAATTGTCAGAAGCCCCAAAAGGACAACTATATTCTGTCAAATCAGTTAAAAAGAAATAACAGTTAATTTCCTTTATGTTCAATGTTTAAAGTTATGAAATAGTTTTTTTATTGCGTTTGTGCAATTAAGAGTGCAATTAAATTTGTTACATCAAAGTTAAGTGAAACGTCGTAAATATTTTTATTACAAATTTTTTTAAAACTTTGAAAATTCTTAGATCGTGAATTGAACTTTCGCGATGTTGTTGAAATGTTAAACTTGAAGAATTACGATTAAGTAATAATTGGAAAAGTAGGTGAAAACCATGAGCAAAGAAAGATCGAAAAAAAGTCAGCGATATCGTTTGTAGGTAACCAGAAAACCCCGTTAACGGTTAACGATATCAAGTATTTAAGTGAAAGGTTTCCTGTTCGAATTATGTGTTCACTTTTGCTTTCATACACGATACACGAAGTAAAGAAATTTATCATAAGCGCAATTATGATTAATGATGCATAAATTTATTAGATCAAATCATGTTGATTATAATTGAAATGTTTATCAACAGTTAAAGTTGGAAGTATTTGATTTGTTTTCATCTCTTGACAGATCTTTTTGTTCACATTTCGTATCACTTAAGTTAATATTACTAAACATTTTAAAGGATTCACTTGATTGGAATTAATGAACTTACAATTTTGGTGATTATCATTTTATACGCGTGAAAATCCTTACACGACAACTAAATTTCGACTATATTTGACCGACAACTGAAATGTAATGTGTACATATCCAACATTGCGCACATTATTTATTTATAGTTGAGCGCCGCATTAAAATGAGATAGCTTTCCTTCCCATTTTTTTTTACTGCAAAAAAGAAATATGAATGTCTGAGTCTCGCTTTGCCGGGTCAAAACAAAGCGCATATAAAGAAATGTATCATTAAACTATTGCATGAAATTTTAAGAAAAAGATGGAACCAAAGAAAGAAGAGTGTAATGAGAGTGACGGTGGGAGAAATGGAAGAAAAGGCGAGTAACTAATACTTATTTGCTGGCTTCTTTCTTTTTCGCTGACTGACCACAACTAAAAGTCAGACCGGTAATACTAATTCTATTAATCATTCATTGGGGGTCAATAAAACGTTTGATTCAACTTTTTTTTTGCACATTTAATCAATGAATTTTTATTTGAGCTTAGAGGTGTTAAATTTCTTTAATCTCTAATTAAGCTTTGAAGGTCATTTCCGTGACAAAAAACTTGCTTAAAGTATGATGAAATGAGATTGAAAATGTTGATACGCAAATACTTTTCATTAACGAATGGCTACTTGAGATTCAATTTCGTAAACAAACGACAAGAATCGCCATAAACTAACGTAACAAAAAATTACACTTTACAAGAGTTACATGTCGTATATCTTCATGTTTTCACATTAATACGGTTCATTGTTAAAGACAATGGGAAAATCTCATTGTTTTTGTTTTTATTTTGATAATTTCACGAAACATGAACATCGCCTCAAGAACTGATCAAGTGAAAGGGAAAAAATTAGCATATAAATGATAGTTGAACTTTTGAGTTAATGATTTCCTAAAGTGTTTATCTGAAAGCCTCAAAATCATTCTCTGATTAACATCTGATATGATAAACATTTTCATTCAGTCATATTCGAGATGAAGAAAGATGAATGATGAGTTCGTAGCACGATGGGATCCACTTGAAGATGTTTCCGCATCTCTTAAAGATGCACATTAATATTTTTTTCTTAATTATAATTGAAGAAAGCGAGCTTGTCTGTTATGTCAGTGTTCACAAGTAATTATTTTCACAGTAGTGCGTCTATTATGTGGTCCAATATCTCTTCTCAATTGCTTTACAATACATGAGAGAATAATGTCTAGTAAATGCCGGTAATTCCAGTAAGAGCCATTGAAATTGAATTAGATGTCGTGACAAAAGCTTTTTCGGCGTTTTTCTCTTTCTTTCAGTGTTTAAAATGTCAAATAGATATGAGTGTTTAGGACTAAAGTGAGAGATGGTTAAGGATTTAATCGATTGCACTTCAACAAGTCTCGCTTTGTTTTGATGAGCTTAGAAAGTCAATTACTCGATAACCAAAAAAGTTCGACACTTTTTCGGTTATTGCACGAAAGATTCAGTCATTAATACTTGAACAACATAAATCATCGTTACCTTTTCCGATTATCATTGTTATTACATCAGAAATGATTGTCTACGCAGTTTCAATCTCAAACTGATTTACATTTCGTAATGTTGTTCATGTTAAAATGTTGTTAATCGAAGATGAAATCTAACTTCCGATCAAAAATTCAATTATTAACTTACGCAATGTACCTAGCTAAGCAACTTTGTACCTTTCTTTGTAAATATTTCACATTTTTTGGACAAAGATGCTTTTAATTAATTTTTTTTTTGTTGTCAGTTGAGCACGAAGATGCATTTTGAAAATATGAAGAAGGAGAAAAAAGTGAAAGACATCAATTATTAATTAAGTTAATTCATAACAATGAAATGTTTGAGTAAATATCTTAATTCACTCTCTTCGCTTGATTTTCGCCGACTCATTGAATAATACATGCGTACATATGTAAACAGTCAGTAGGCAAGTACGATCAGGTTTTTTCTTTCGTTGATAATCCGATCTGGTTTTTAAATTTTCTTCTTTTCTTTCTTTTTTCGTTTCAAACAACAAAAATTACGTAAAAAAAATTGAAGACAAAAAAAAATCATTGATCTTGTTTTAAAGTTTCAAAGTTAATAATCGGAAGAGAAAAAAAATATTTTGGTGGCAAGGCGAAATATTACGAAGAAACATTGCATTGAACTTGTTAAAGGTTTTATTGCCGGCAAGCGTAAACGTGTGAATAAAAAACGTTTCTGTGTCGAATTAAATACCAACAAGGCTTATTATTTGTTGAAATATCCGATTAAATTGAATATCTCTTAAAAGAATCTTCAGTAATAACAATTTCACGCATTACATACGAGAACAAATGAGAACTATTAAGAGAAAATATGAATAAAATACATTAATGTGAGTTTCACGAAGTGTTGGAAAAGTTTCGATATGAAGTTGAAAAACAAAAGAAAAAGGTGAAAGATTCCATCCAATGGTAACGGTCAGTGAAAGTACTTGAGATTGCGCGCGATCGATGTAAACAATCTTCAACTGAAATCCAGACATCGCGAAGTCTACATTACCGCTAGGTAATAACAACAATAAAATTACATAACATGGTTTACTTCTTTCACCTTTCCATTGCATAATTTTATTCTTCTTTGATATTATTTTTCTTTTTTTTTGTCAATGTGAATGTTCTTCGATGTTGAAGCGTTAATTTTATTTTATTTTAATTAAACTCGTTGTGTCACTTAAAGGAAAAGAAAAATTAATAATTAATAATTAAAGAAAAAGTAAAACTTTTAATAAATATCATAAATAAGAATTTTAAATTATCGTCACTAAGTTTTTTTATTCTTCTGTCATTTCTGATTGACCAAATTTTATTGATCCTCGATAACCTGTTGATTTAACTTTGTCAACGTATTTCGAAACTTCTTTCTTCACATTTTTTGATGGTTTGATTGTTGTTTTTGATTGAATCTTCGACTCAGCATAATCAAAGTTATGAAGATTAATTACACTCTTCGTTGTAGATGAAATCTTTGATGTTTTCGGTGTTGAATTATCGAATTTTGGTTTTGATGTTGTTAAACTTAAGATGTGATAATTTGGATTTGGATATCGCTTTGGTATGTTGTAACTACCACTTTTGCTTGAGTCAGCAATATTTTTTGTATTTATCACTCCATTATGATTATGTCGTTTCCGATAACGTGAGTTCAAACGTAAATTTTCCGTCTTTGGCGTAACTGTCGCTTTTCTGACCGAAGGAATTCGCACTTTAACAGGTTTAACTTTTGATTCGACTTGTTCTTCGTGCACGGCATACGACGAGTGAATGGTGTTGTCATTCAAATTATCAAAGTCATGGAATCCGGAAGAAACATCATTTGAGACAGTGTGATGATGATTGAAGATTGAAGTGTGAAGTGGGCTGACAATTTGCGAATGTATTTCATTTCCATCACCATAAGATTTCGTGGGTGCTGGAACTGGCCTCCATCCATTACCCAAACCATTGGATTTTCCATTTACAATTTGAACTTGATCACCTTGCTCGAAAAGCGTATGAATCGTTGCCTCGACTTTCAATTCTTCTTGCTTTTCCAACTCACGCAATATTGAATCTTCAAAATGTTTAAAACCGTTGACTCCATATTCATGCTTCAATCCATCCACGCCATAACTTTCGATATGATTTTGTGCTTTCTCTTTGTGTTGCTGAGCTTTTGGATGATGACGATTGGAATGATGACGATGATGATTTGAACTTAAAACGTTACTCGGTCTCTTGAAAGTATGAGCGGGTTGAGGTGGTAAACGTTTGAAAGGCTTTGGTGGTTCCAGGAAATGTTTGAAGTTCTGTGGATTCAATGGACTTTCTCTCCAACCGTCACGGATTGCGTCTTCGATTATGTCGGCCCCCGTATGAAAAGTGTCTGCAAAGTCTTTAATTTTCTCCTTCATATTAACATGAATCAAAGGAAGAAGTTGCTGACTAAACGTTTTCATGTCAAATGGAGAGACAAGACTTGATGGCGTTCCAACTGGAAATTGTCTCGGCTGTGCCACTCTGAGACTTGAATTCACCGTGAATGATTTCGAATCTAATAAATTTGAGTTATTTTTGTGATTATGCGGTATCGATGAAATGACATTTTGTGGAGTTGAATGAATTGATTGATTTCTAGAAAAAAATTGTTTTACTTCAATGATCGAAAATTTATTTTTCAAACTTCACACAGTTTCACTCACAAAGTAATAGTGAAGCAGGTCTTTAACATAACTGCAATCGCAACAATAATTCTTATCTGAAATGATTTAAACCACAAAGTCATCAATAATTTCATCTTCTTAATTAAACTTTTCACTCACAAATTCCATCGAATTTTTCCTTATCTTTCATTAATTTAATTTTAATATTTTCAAAATCAAAGCTTCGATGTTTCTTCTTCAAAATTTAATCAGCAATTGTTAATGAAAAGTACATTTAATGCACTTTTATAACATAACTCATGCTGAACAAAAAAAAGAGTTTGTCGAGTGGAATGATGAACAAGCGAATTAATTAAAATCTTACTAATCAGTGAAAAACAAACAACTTACTAAAACAACTAAAGGAAAAAAAGATTTTTACATGCTTTTAGTTAAAACGAAACGTTTTTATGCTCGTGAGTTTATTCATTTAATATAGATTGGTAGTCATCACCGCAAAAATTGAAACAATAATATTGTTAAATGGATTAACTTAGCCAAATTGATTCAATTTAATTTGATTCGAAAGCATTAAATGTGATGATGGAACGAAGGAATGCAATTTCATAATATATCGGTTATCAAACTCTCAGCTATCACCTTGCAATGTATTTTACGTTGATTGATGAAAGTTTCATTAAAAATTCATTGATTGGTTCTAATGTTTTGAAGTAAATGGAAATAAATGAATGGGAATGAAGCACATGTGGAAATGGCATGAAATGACAATGAAGTCTAATTGATTAATTCATGTGACATAAATGTAATTAATTAAATTCACACTAAGGATATTAATTATATAGACAATTAAATGTTCAACTACTCCCACAATAAATTCTAAGCTGACACTAAACACTTTAGACATGAATGAAAATGAAATCTGATAAGTGAGATTCATTTACATAATTTTCAATAAAAAGTTCATAAAAGCATAAGATTGCTTAATGACTTCGCCATATGTCCTCAAGTTTAATGGCTTGCTTTTAATTCCTAAAGCAAAATATCCTTTCCCTTGTTGAGTCATCTTCAACATGAACAAAATATTTTTCCTAATCGAAATGTTTTTGATTTCGTACCAATTTGAGCAGTAAATTGATTGTTGAAATTCTTCAAACTGTTGATTAAATGATTATCATTAATAAACTATTTAAAAGATATTAATGAATCTTACTTTTGATGTCAAAATGTTTCCAAAATAACAATGAAAGAATAATTGAAATAAAGAAGCAGACAAAATTATCGCAGATATAAAATCGAAATTATTTCCAAGATTGAAAAAGCAAATGACGATAAATCCAAATGCTGAAGCAAGTTGAATGAATCCAAAAATGTTGAATACACATCCTGATTCATGAATGATTTCTTGAGCACGTAAATGCTTCTTGACCAGTTCGAGAATAAATTTTTCATCTGTTTTCTTATCGATTTTCGATGCAAGGTGACAACAAAGTGACAATTTTGAAACACAATGTAATGTCACCAAAACGTACATTGAATCGAGTCCTTGAGTCCAAAAGTCAAATTAAATTTTAATTTATGTAAAGTGGTGAAATTTCACTCATGTTACTTACCAACAGTCAACGGAATTATTACGATGAGGAATAAAAATATCATTGCAAGATTAACTTCGTGGAAAGGATGCGAGTCTGGCCTATGAATGATTAAATAATTAATAAATAAAAATTATATTTAAAAATTATAAATGTCAACTTTGTCAAAGGAACTTGAACTTGAAATGGCATCACCATCTTCTGGATGCAGATCAAACTCCAAAACGACATCAAGACAGTTGTAATGAGATAAGCAAAACCGATTGAAAAAATGAATCTTCTTATCAATCTTCGATACTTGAGTTCCACTTCCACTTCACTTGGCTTCGAATGTTTGATATCTTCCACAATATGAACTCGCATTGCTGAAATGCAATGAAGTTTGTTGCATAATGCCATGAGTTTCAGAAAGGTCTGATAAAGAAAAAGTTATTGACAAGTTCTTGGAATTAATTTGATTGAAATTACTTGACAATTCAAACAAAATCCTAGAATGGCTGAAAATTGTTTCTTCGTGTCTTCTGCAAAGTCACTAAAGATGTTCTTTATGAAAACTATCGCCCAGAATAAGAAGAATATTCCTGCTTTAAGCATGAACCTCTTGGATAGTTTCCCATTAACTTGAAAGACCTTCAATGCTGTGATTATGTAATTGAAACTCAAAATTAATTCTTAAAATTCTTTTAAATTTCTAAACTTACATAAAATTTTGAAGAGCTTTTCAATGAACTTGAATTCAATTTCATAATCAAATTCACTTTTCCAAAATTTTGTGGAAATTTTCTTGAAATTGAAATAAACTTTCATGAAATGATCCATTCTTAGTCGTTTCAGAAGTAAAACTGAAGATTTACATTTTGAATTGAAGCAAGCGTACGATTCCAGGTAATTCAATTTTAATATGTTAATTGTTACTTGTAAATGCAATTCAGGAAGAAAACTGAACAAAATGGAACTCCAATTAAGGCAAGCGACGATTAAATTGTGGGATTGTCATTTAAAACTTATTTCACACGAATGATATTCGATTATGTTTCTTATGTTCCAAGCATAAATTATGCTGCATAATAAATAATGACACGAGACAAATTTCGTTTCATAAACAGATTAAATTTGAAATTACTTAATAAGAAATTTATCTCAATGATGCTGAATTTAAAGCACTTTTAAACTTTATCATCATTTGATGTAATGAAAGCGAATGCATTGTTATGCTACTTTGATCAGCAATTTTCTTTTTATGTTCGGAAAATTGAGATGAATTAAAGAAATGTTTGTTCATTTGTAGAACAATAAATGTTGTAATAATATTATTCAATAAAAACATATTTCTTGCATGCTATGTGATCTTGAAATGGAAACTTTTGCATGTTTAACATTAAATTTTATCTAAATCGGATGAGAAGGAAAAAAGATTTTTATCGAGAAATTGATGAAAATTTCCATAAAATGTGAGTGAGAAAAACAAAGCAAATATTTATTTACAAAACATGGCAACAGGTGAATTTATTGATCGATATCTCACTTTCGAGAATAATGCTCGATATGCCCCATTGGCAAAAAGTTAAAAATCCCAATAAATAATTTGCGGTCAGTTTGTTTCCTATTTTTTAATTGTAAAACTTGAGCTTGAAAGGTGAAATTTGATTTGCAATTCTGCATCCGGAAAAAAATTGTGTAATTTAAGGAAGCTGGAAAAAGCGATATTTTAATATGTTAATTAAATTAACAAGCGTTTTAATTCAACAAAAATAAGTTTAAGAAGATTGTTTGCAAACTATTCATAAATTTTGTTTTTTATTGTCAATTGTTCATTTCCAACATGCTTCAGTAACTCGAATGATGCTCAATATTTTGAAATGAGATTAAAAGTATTACTAACATCAAAGAGAGTTTAAAGATTTATTTCGTTACTTTACCATTTGATTATTTTTAAGTTTTTATTTGAGAGAAGGAAAACCACCACAAACAACAATGAAATGTTTTTACTCCAAATTTATGAATGAAAATATGAACACCATGCCAAGTATCAGTAAATTGCTTATCGTCTATCTCAAATTACAGATCCATGTGTAAGTAAATTTACTCAGAGCGCTGAGCGATATTGTTATTCATAAACAGCCATAAAAAGTCTTTCTTTTCAACTGTTGTGTTGATTATAAAAGTCTGTGAAGTCATGAAATTGCAAATTAAATTATTTCCAAGCTTCGTACCAACATCATCTCGATGCACGAGAAAAATAAAACACTCGGAAGTCCGTTGAAGTGAAATTAATTTTGTGAATTGTGAGGTTTTGTGAAACAAAAAAAATTAATAAAATGAAATTTGTTAAGACAAACTTTGAAATTTTCGTGGTAAGAAAAGGAAAAGTGAAATAATAAATTTTGTATTAGAAAAATAAAGTTTTTCTCGATTCAGATTTTAACAATTCTGATCGTTGTGGCATCGGTGACAACATCAAAAGCTAAAGCATATAAAAGAGTCGTGATTCATGTACCATTGAAAGTGAAGCATCATCATCATACACACACGGTGGTCAAACATGTACATCATCAAGTTCCGATACATTATGATCATCACGATGTTCATGTTGTTCATCCAGAATCGCATCATCACGAAGATTATGACGGTGACTATCATTTATCTTCTGGACGTCCCTCTGACTCCATCCTAGGTGATCTGTCATCATCCTATGGTGATTTAGATTACGAAAGAGGCAATCATTACAAAAGCTTCGAGAAATTTCTCCGAAAGCAATCAAAAAAGAAGCAAAAGCTTTTCAACAACATGGTAATTGGATGGAAAGGACGAAGTGACTTTGACAAAATTGCTTCTGAATATTTGCAATCAATAAAGAAGCAGCGAATGCCAGAAAGCGACGATTATCACGATCAATATGCAAACTATGATGATGAGGAAAGGAAGAGAAAGCGAAAGTGAGTCTCGCTGAAAACAAAACACGTCATTGAGTTTAATGTCAGTACAATTTAGTTAAGATTAGTGTCAAAAATTGAATGGAACGTTTGCTTTGTTCGTTTTAATTAACAATTAAGTCCTAAGAATGTGTTGTTGAGATATTTGTAAAGATTTATTAAATAAAAAAATGATTTGTTTTATTTGTCTATTTAACAAGAAATATTTTGCAAATATTACGTGATCTTGCGTCATGAAACATTTTTTTATGATATTTTAGCATAAAATAACAATGTCACAGATACTTGACTTTTGATGGAATTTCTCTGATAAAAAGATTAAAAATATTCCAGTGAAAACATGAATTTATAATTAAAATTAGAGAAGCTTCAACATGAGGTGAGTACAAGAACAATTATGAATATTTCATGCTGTGGTTTCACTTTCATCAAGTACATAAATAATTCAATTTCTTAGCTTCATAAAGTTTAATCAAAAATTCCTTTTAGTGAATTGTCTAAGTTTGAAAACACGACAATTTTTATTACAACTTTTTATTAGCCTCTTCTTCTTTGTGATGTGAAAATTTTTGTTTGTTGTTTTCTATTGTAGTTGATGTCGGCTAATAACTTCGCTTTAGCCATGATGTTCTTGTTGTATTTTGATGAGAGAATTTCTGAGTAAATGTCGTCTTGATGATCGGAAGGTTCAGGTTGTTGGTCTTTTGGTAATGTGCTATAATATGTTGGATCAAGTGCCGTTGGATCACCGTTATAAAAACTTGGCTGAAGGTTTGAAGCTTCTACAGCTTGTTGATAATGAAAATTCGAGTTTTGATTCTTTTTGGGTCGATTCGGTGCTTGACGAACTGTATCGGTTTGCTTATGCTTCTTCTTTTTATTTCCTTGACGATTTGGATAATGTGTATAATGTTTTTCGTAGTTTGAAGCTCCAAATTCTTGATTATAGTTATGATTTCTATGCCTGGTTGAGCCATATCGAGTTGATGAAGAATTTGCTTTGTTTGCTTTATGCTTTCGGAAAAGATTGCTCGTTATTTTTGATTCATCTTCTATTGCATCTGGATCGTCTTTGGTATTTGCGTTGTCATCATCGCCATCATAAGATTCAGGATTATTTCCATATTGTTCTTGCAACTTCCTTCGTTCTTCCAAAGCTCTCATAAATTGTTCCTTTCTCCATTTAAGAAACTCTTCTTCGGTTATTCTTAATTCAGGTCTGTGATGATTCAAATTAACCAAAGGTTGTGGATAACCACCGTTAACCAATCCAATGTTTGGGTCATTTCTCGAATGGACATACGAAGCATGGTCTGTGTGAATGACTCTTGGATGGTAAACATGAACATATTTCGTTTTCAAATGTTTATGTTTATGATGAATATCTGGGATGTGAATTTTAACGTGAACACTAAAAGTTTGAATAGAAAGAAAATTTTATAATTGACATGATTGATAGTACAAATAAATTAAATGTAACTAATAGAGAGAGAGAAGATGAGAGTAAACTAGTCGTTCTTTTGTGAAGCTCCTGATAAATCTGCGAAATTAAATATCTACTGCAATTATAATTAGTCAAATCTTGGTAATTTTGAGCAACGGACATTCGGTCTACCAGATTAAGCCAAAAAATCTAATCAATCACTTCAAGATACGAGTTTTTTTCCAATTTTTCTCGAGAACGTGATAAAGACCGTGATAACAAAATGGACGAAAAGGCTCAAAATATTCTTATCAAAGAAATTACAAAGAAAATCGAAGAATCCATGTATAAAACTATCAATTCTGCAATCGATCGTGCTGTAGAGAAAATCAGAAATGAAATTATTTCGATTCTAAAGCCACAATTAGAAGAAATAAACCAGAAAGTTGATTCAGCTATCAAACGTGTCGACATTGTTGAAAGAAGAATAGATGACGTAGTTGAGAATAACAAAAGAATCTGCAACTTACGTCTCAATGAATTCCCATTTTACAACGATGAAAATCTGCAAAGTGTCATGAAGAACCTATCATCAGCACTTGGTTATGAATCTCCACCAGATCATAAAATCTACCGTTTGGGGAAAAATAAGAATTCAACAATAATAATTAAATTCGCAACTGAGTTTCACAAGAATGAATTCCATGAAAGGTTTCTGAGAGTTCCTAAATCCATTACTGTAAATGTACTCAATGGTAAAATAAACTCAAATGAACGATGCTATTTATCTCAAGATCTCACTAAGAAACAATATGAGCTCAATAAATCAGCCATCAGCCTCTTGAAGACGGGAAAAATTCATCGAGTCGCCATTGTGAATGGAAATGTAGCAGTTAAAATTTCACCTTCGGAACCTTATCAACTATTCGAGTCCATATCGCCAGCAAATGAAGCCAAAAGCTTGAAAACCACGCAGACTAAAGGAGCTCCAAAGCAACCAGTGAACACTAGGAGCACAAAGAAATTAAATACATTATAAAATATCAAAGGCTAATTAACATCTTATTATTTACTTTTAATTTCTCCCAATTTCTTTCTAAAGCCTATTCCAATTTATATTTTTAGCTAAAATGGGAGAGAATATATTAATTTTATGGATTATTTTACTGGAATTTAACACAAACATGTCAAGAAACGTCGCACTGGTGAGTCAAATGAATTACTGTTGTCCTTATATCCCCCATTCCTTTACTCCTATTGATGATATTTGCGTGTGTCTAACAATGTCTGGTCGAGTCTATAGTTCTCTAATCCTGGCGAATCGTTGAGATACACTAGTCAGCCATGCAACATAAGAAACTCTGTGCTAAAAGTAGCACTATCTGATGCTGATGTACTTAATTTTATACATATAAATCCTGGCAGTTTAAAAAAGAATATTGATGAAATCCGTTTACTGGTTCAAGAGACTAATATTCACATTATAGCAATCTCTGAAACATGGCTAAAATCGTGTCATAATGATTTCTTATTAAATATTGATAGATTCAAAATATTTCGAAACGATAGGAAAAGCGATAGGAAAACAAGAGGGGGTGGAGTTGCGATTTATGTGAGAAATGGAATAAATGCAAAAATTGTTGCTAAAAGTCGAGCTAACGGCTTCACAGAATTTCTCTTCATTGAAGTTTCAGGAAGTAATCATAAAAAATTAGTATTTGGGGTCACATACAATCCTCCAGACTCTGCACGACTCCAACCACTTTACAACGCAATTGAAATGTTATCACCAATTTATGAGGATATTGTGATTATTGGAGATTTTAATACAAACCTCTTAACAAGAAATTCAAGTACAAATCAACTGCTAGCAAATATGTCCGAATTCGGTTTAAATTGCAAACAGACTGAACCAACAAATTTCTCAAACATTTACAATCCGAGTCTTATTGATTTAATTTTTTGTAATTCGGATAAAATTCTCCGCCTTTCACAAATATCTCCAGGTAGTTTTACAACTCACGATCTTCTTTTTGGTTCCTTTGATTTCACTACAGTAATTGATGAAGTAATTGTCAGGGATTTCTTAGATTTTAAAAACGTGAACAAAGACAAGCTTCAATTAAATGCAGTGAAAGAAAACTGGGAAAAAATATATGATATTCCTAATATTGATGATCAAGTTGCGCATGTGACAACGATTATAAATAAATTAATATCTGAAAATATTCCAGTTAAAAAGATATATATTAATCAATGCAACGGCTTTGATTACAATAATCCCAAACTTCATCGACTTATTAATCTACGGAATTACTACCATAAAATATCTCGACGTGAAAGTAATGGGAATTTAAGAAATAAATATGATTTAAAATATCGACATTATCGTAACAAAGTTACTCTTTTTATAAGAAATACAAAATCAGAATTCTATAAGAAAAAATTTTCACTCTCTCACAACCCCAAGAAACTATGGAATAATTTAAAAAGTAATGGTATAATTGAAAAAAGAAATGATTTTTCAGATGGTTTTTCTTCACATGATTTTAACAATTATTTTTCATCATCGTTTTCCAAAAAATCAACTCACCTATTCAATTTTAATGAAGAACTTTCGAAAGAAAATTGTTTCAATTTTACTAATGTAACATTGGACGAAGTGTATTTCGCAATTATGAATATTCGTACAAATGCGATTGGGGAAGATGGGATTCCTGCAAGTTTTTTAAAAGATCTTTGCCCGATAATTATCCCCTTTGTAACTCACCTCATTAACTGTTGCTTTACACAGTCGTATTTTCCAATAAACTGGAAAATAGCTAATATCAAACCGATCCCAAAAATAAAATTACCATCAGCCATTTCCGACTTTCGACCGATCAGTATTCTTCCATCTATGTCGAAAATAATTGAATCTCTTATGAAAACGCAACTCGAAATATTTCTAAACGATAAAAATCTGATCTACGATTGTCAATCTGGTTTCAGAAAAGATCATAGCACACTTTCAGCTATGATCAAAGTCACTGATGATATTGCTAATTTAATTGATCAAAATCATGTTATTACTTTTGTGTCACTTGATTTTAAAAAGGCATTCGATTTATTAAATCATGAATGTCTTCTTCGCAAGCTCTCCCATAACTTTCATTTCTCAAGTCAAGCATGCAACATGATAAAATCTTATCTCTCAGATCGTTATCAGAGAGTCACTTGCAATAACAATAAATCTGATCTCGTGGAAGTTACCTCAGGGACTCCACAAGGTGGTGTCATATCAGCTTTACTTTTCTCATTATCAATTAATGATTTACCAGCGGCTGTTGACATTAATGTTCACTTATATGCTGATGATTCCCAACTGTATTGTTCAGCACCAAACGAAAATATATTTGAATGCACAAGAGTTATGAACAAAGCACTTAGCGATGTTAACGATTGGGCTCTCAAAAATCATGTTCATATTAATCCAACTAAATCTCATGCCCTCGTTTTAGCAAAAAGAAAATTATTAATATCACCACCCACACTTACTATTGGAAATGACGAAATATCATATTCTGATCAAGTGAAAGTGCTTGGCCTTACGATTACTAATAATTTGTCATGGGATGTTCATGTTAATAATATTTGTCATGATGCTTATTATACATTGTCATGTCTGAGGCAATCTCAATATTATGTTCCCATGAAAATCAGAATGCATTTAATAAAATCTCTAGTTATCCCGAAAATCTTATATTGTTCTGAAATCTTTATGGGCTGTAATCGAGGAACTTGGAAATTAATTGAAACTTGTTTTAATGCTTGTATTAGATATGTTTTCTTGCTAAAAAAATATGACTCTTTATCCGCACATAGAAACAAAATATTAAACTGCCCTATTGAAAAATATATTCATTATCGAGCATGTATAATAATATTTATGCTATTAAAGAAACGAGCGCCCAATTATCTGTTCGAGAAAATTATTTTTAAGAGATTACCTCGTGGTGACACACTCTCAATTCCAATGTCAAATGGAACCAACCAGCATCAAAATAGTTTCTTTATGTATGGTGTTAGACTGTGGAACTCACTTGAAGCAGATTTGAGAAGGCTTGACTCGCTATCGACATTTAAAAAGAAATGTTTATCCCATTTTGCTACGTAAATGATATCAATCAATTATCCTTATATCCCTTTTCCCTTCAAAATCCAATTGTTTTCTTCTTTCCAACCAACAGTTTTCAATTTGATTACAGAACGATAGTCACCTATAAGTTATCATTAATTTCATGAATTATTTACTTTATAAAAAAATCATAATTTTTCNACTTTCATCAAGTACATAAATAATTCAATTTCTTAGCTTCATAAAGTTTAATCAAAAATTCCTTTTAGTGAATTGTCTAAGTTTGAAAACACGACAATTTTTATTACAACTTTTTATTAGCCTCTTCTTCTTTGTGATGTGAAAATTTTTGTTTGTTGTTTTCTATTGTAGTTGATGTCGGCTAATAACTTCGCTTTAGCCATGATGTTCTTGTTGTATTTTGATGAGAGAATTTCTGAGTAAATGTCGTCTTGATGATCGGAAGGTTCAGGTTGTTGGTCTTTTGGTAATGTGCTATAATATGTTGGATCAAGTGCCGTTGGATCACCGTTATAAAAACTTGGCTGAAGGTTTGAAGCTTCTACAGCTTGTTGATAATGAAAATTCGAGTTTTGATTCTTTTTGGGTCGATTCGGTGCTTGACGAACTGTATCGGTTTGCTTATGCTTCTTCTTTTTATTTCCTTGACGATTTGGATAATGTGTATAATGTTTTTCGTAGTTTGAAGCTCCAAATTCTTGATTATAGTTATGATTTCTATGCCTGGTTGAGCCATATCGAGTTGATGAAGAATTTGCTTTGTTTGCTTTATGCTTTCGGAAAAGATTGCTCGTTATTTTTGATTCATCTTCTATTGCATCTGGATCGTCTTTGGTATTTGCGTTGTCATCATCGCCATCATAAGATTCAGGATTATTTCCATATTGTTCTTGCAACTTCCTTCGTTCTTCCAAAGCTCTCATAAATTGTTCCTTTCTCCATTTAAGAAACTCTTCTTCGGTTATTCTTAATTCAGGTCTGTGATGATTCAAATTAACCAAAGGTTGTGGATAACCACCGTTAACCAATCCAATGTTTGGGTCATTTCTCGAATGGACATACGAAGCATGGTCTGTGTGAATGACTCTTGGATGGTAAACATGAACATATTTCGTTTTCAAATGTTTATGTTTATGATGAATATCTGGGATGTGAATTTTAACGTGAACACTAAAAGTTTGAATAGAAAGAAAATTTTATAATTGACATGATTGATAGTACAAATAAATTAAATGTAACTAATAAAACTTCCATCCACACAGCACATTTCCTAAACGATCTCTCACTCTTCCTTTACAAGCTATCAAATCTTTAATTATTTTCTCCGCAAAATGTAATTATTCTCATCAAAACAAATGTTTACAAGATCAACATTTTATGCTGTAATAATTTCATTGGCCTTGTTTTGATGTTGTTAAATTTGACTCCCAAATTATCTCCGGATTTCACTTGCCAAGAGTTTACATTTTTTCATAAATTTAAAGTGACGATGACCAACATTGGGGAAATTTCGTTTTTTTATTTCTTCTCTCTTTCAATTATTCCAGAAACTTCAAATTACTTTGGCAAGTTTGTTTCAATGACGTCATGGAGCTGAAGTTGAGATGCTTTAAAAAACAGTTATTCAGAGAATTTCTAAGCGCTTCAGTATTTCTTTTTTTTTCGCAGCAAGAAATCAAGATTTAATAATTTTTTTCTTAATAACTAACTGAACATTCAAGATTTTCTCACAGAACAAAAATTTCAATTCTTTTAATCGAACATTGATCTCAAATCATGAGATGTTTCAAAAAGTCACTCACTGATCACTTTTTCCACATTCCAGTGATGCAAGTAGAAAAACTCCAATCAGAACATGAAACACTTTATTCATTCTTGTCTTGTGTCTTCCTTGTTTTATTTCTCTCAAATATACTTTAATCGTTAGGAATTTTTTCTTAAATTTATCAATTTACAGCAAGAAAACCTGATTCTTAAAAATGTTTTTCGTTTTCTTTTATATCTTGACTTGCGACTTATACCGCTCCAAACACTGTAACCAAATGTTTTGAATCATTTTCAGATTTTTAGTTTTATATCAAACCGAAAGAAATGCTATGCGAAGAGTCAGAAGAAAATGAATCTGAAACAGTAGGAAAGTAACTCTAACAAGATAAAAAGGTAGAAAGAGAAAGAAGAAAGACCCAGACCGCAACTAAAAGCATGAAAACGAAACTGATACCACATTTTGATTACATCTTGGACCTAACGAGACTCAGTAGAAGAAGGAAACCCCTTCAGCTATTATCTGCTCCAAAAAATGATTTTGAAGTCATTAGACCGAGTCAATAAAAAAAAGAGTTTTTGTCGTTAACTTATTTAACAAAGTTTTGTAAGGGAAATAAAATGAAGCTTGTTGGTTAAACAAGAAACCAGATGATGTCTTGATAATCTTATCTGTTTGTATAATAATTCGATAAATATTTCAAAGTAATCATTACATGAAAAAATGCATAAAATAAATTGTCGCGATCTTTTACATACAATCATCCATCCATTAGCATTTAGACGTACATGCTTCGTTTAACTGCACTTCGCAAAACGCCCGAATCCATTCTCCATGTAAAATTACTCAACGATGAAGTTCAATAACGTGAATTGTTTGTAACAAGGATTGAAGGTAATAATTTTTGCAGCTTTTGAAGTTTCTCTGCTTTCACATGTCGAGTAAATATGCGATGCGGGTGCAGTGAATTCACGAAATTACGGAACACAAATAATCGCTAATAATGATCATTGAATCTACTCGAACTTTTATTTTGTGTGAAATCAAAAGCATGAAATTTTAGGGTTTTGTCGCTTTTCTTTTTGTAGCAAGGAAAGATCTTTTTATTGAGAATTTTGACAAAACATTTAATTGTACTTAAAGTTTAATTTAATTATGATAAAAGTCCATTAGGAACTGGATAAATGATCATGGATGACAAGGAGTTAAAAATTATGTCCAAATTCATTTCCAAACTCTTTTGTTTCAGATATTTCAGGATGAACATGCTAGGTGGGAAATTTAAAGGGAATTTTTGTTAAAAATGTTAACAATTATTGATGTTATTTACTTTGTAATGATGATGCAAATGTTCATGCGATATTTCTTCTTTATAAATGGGTTCCTTGTGGTGAACTTCAATCGGCTGATGATTGATTATTTTTTCTTCCTTGATGATGGTCGGCTTATGATGAACATGCAAAGGCTTCAGTTTAACTAAAGTGTGTGTATGCTTCTGCTTGTTGACTTTAACAGGAACGTGTATGATGATCTTTCGATGTCGAAAACTAAATAAGATTTTGTAATTTTCATTATATCATTAACCAATTTTACATGGAATTAACTTTAGAATAAACTCACGCTTCGCTTTCGGCAATAATCACAAAGAGAATTAATAATAATGAGATCATCTGGAAACATTTATTGAAGAATAATTTCGTTAATTTTAGGTCCAAATAAAAATACAACATTAATCACTTCACACTTCATCACTTAACTCACCGTTATCTTCAACTCCATTCTGAATTAATTTCACTAATCTAATAAAATAAACCCAAACTTATTTCAAACCTGCTTTTAAGACTAATGGATTATTTGTAATTGCATTTCATTTAAATTGCAAGCTTTTATATCAATTCAAAGAAAATTGCCCCCCTTGTTGTTCAAGTAATTAAAATTGCGTGTTAATTTTTGTTTTACTTTACATATATGAAGTGTTTAGGGAACTAAAATCATTTTAATAGTAGCTTATGGTGTTAACTACTTTCTGTCTTTGAAAACATTCTTTTGTTGTTCGATTTAAATCTTCGAATACAAAGTTGTCGACTTTGAAGTGATTTTTGATTTATCAGCTTAAGAGATGAATGCGATAATCAGCATTAGATATTCAGATATTCATGCTTCCCTTTAATCGAAGCTCAAGCTAATAAAAATTCATCGTGTAATTAGTTTTCGTGTAAACTAGTGCAAACATTTGTTCCATGTTAGAAATTAGATATCTTCAAGTGTTTCCGGTGAAGTCAGTCAATGAAACGTTGATCATATAATTTTAATTTCATCAACTTAGTAAATGAATACCAAATGTCTTCAACTCAGATATTTAAACTTTCTACTTACCTAAGAATTCTTTTGCTTTCATTTTTAACGCTTGAAACAAATATCCATTGAAATGAAGGAAGTGCTAAGCAGATGATGAAAATTTTTCTAGATTTCCACGCATGATAATTCAATGATGAAGTTTTAATAGCTTCACCTGGTTGTTGTTTCTTGTTGACTGATGTATAAATATTGACTAAGTTTTGAAGTATCAAGCGAGACAGACAAACTGACCTTTCGCAAATGAAATTCTATTAAGAAACTTTTTTTAACTTTTCCTTTCTTTCTCATAAGCACCGACATAATTTATTGTTAAAGATAAAAAGATTTAAAAGCTGAAAATGAGAATGAAACGAAATGACTAAGCCATCATCTATTTTTATGTGACATTCTTCAACTTTTATTTAGTACGGTCTCTTATGGATATTAAGTTAAAGATTACTTTTTAATATTCTATTTATTCTCTTCTTCTGATAGTTGTGTTGACGCTTGAAAAGACTGCAATAAACGATCAGGCTCAGGTGTTGGCGACAAAAGTGGAATCTCGTCTGTTCTTTTCTCAGGTTCATTTAATGGTGGCGATATTGAAACAGCAACTGGACACATACACGGCACATATTTAACATTATTATTATTATTATTTTGATTGGGAAGAGGTGTAATGGATGTAGGAATGAATTGATATGTCACTGGATCAGCAGAATATTGTTGATAACTCGGTTCATTACTGAAAAGACGACCTGAGAATTGATTTGCCATGTTGCTTTGTCCAGTAAACTGGAATGGATTAGGTTGACTGTATTGTTGATTGTAATATTGAGGAAAGCCTCCAAAATTTCCTTGTTGGAAAGCTTGTGGAATTGGAATTTGACGTTGATAAGGTTCTGGTCTCACGTGAACTTGAGAAGGTGGCTGGGTTGGTGCTGGCGTTGTTGTCGTCGTGGTCGTCGTTGTCGTTGGTGTCGTGCCAAAATCAACTTGTGAATCTAATGGAAGTTGTTGCATCATTGGAGGAAATGAAGGAAACTCATTAGAAGAATCTCGATTTTTGAAAAGTTGTTGCTGCATTGCTTGCAACACTGCGTTGTTAAATTGATTTGAATTTGATTGGACGTTCTTTGTGGGGTATGCTTGAGGGTTTCTTGACACATGATATGTTGTTATTGGAGCTAATGGTTGTGGGAATGCAACTGGCTGATAAGCAAACGCTCTGATGTATGAAATTGGATATTGTTGAATTGCCGGTGCTACTGTCACAGTTTCAACTTTGTTTCTGTTTGGGATGAAAATCATTAAATACTGAAATTCTTCACTTTTTAATTCTTTCACCTTACGGGACCTGACCAGGAACCAAAGAAAATTGCATTACTTGAAGCTATGAAGAAGGCTGTTATAAACTGAAATGGAGGTTGATTTAAATCAATTAACTTAATTTCAATTAATTCAACAAATTCACAATTTTAATAAAAGTTTTTTTTTCTTATTCAATCTTCAGTTTATCCTGATAGGAAAAAATAAAAATTTTCTTTATAAAAATTCTTCACTAAAGGAAAACGCACCAAAAACTTTATTCCTAACATGTTTGATAATCCAAAATATTTTTAATGCAACACTTTCTTCTTGCAACTATAACTAATTTTATGAGAACACTTTATGTTAATAAGAATTTGATTCACACTGAAATCTAGGAAAAATATGTAAAGGAACTAAGTCAGAACCATTTCTTTTATAGTCAAAGATTTCCCCCCACCAACTCGTGTTGCATCCCTTTCATTGCTTTCTTCTTGTTCTACAAGAATTCTGTCGAATCACTGGTTCTTTTATGTTTATTCAATTCTCTTTTCTCCTATTAATTTATCACACGCATACTTGAAAAAAAAACTATTTTTGAAACCTTAGCCCTTGAAATTATTTCTCAATGTTCATAGATCAGAGTCTGATAAAAAAACAAATTCTTAACATGCTCGGCTTTGATACTTGTTAAGACAATAGAATGTAATAATTATTAGGCTCAACACTTTTAAACTTTCTATGGTTACGCATCGAATTTTCTATTGCGTGCAAATAATTGATTTCATTGTCGGTTCCGTTTGACACGATTGTAATGAAGACATCGTAGAAAAAAAGGAAGACATAAATATATAAAAACATAGAGAACGAAGCGTTTCTAATGTAGGCATGTTGATATGTTTAAACATCAGTGAAGAAAACAACCGAATTGAGCTATTTTGTTGAATCATTGACCTCCGGCATTTGAATCGTTTGATCTTATAACAAAAAGAGGTTCTAATAACAATATCTGCATCAATCTAATAACCCTTCATTATTTTCATGTTCCAAACCAATGGACTTGATGCCAGAGAATCATTTCAATGTTTTGTTCTTTCATTTCTACTTTTAATTTGAAGTCAACAACAATGAAAAAAGGAAAAAGTTCAATTCATTGTGATGACTTCATTGTTCGATTTCGATTGATTATGCTGTCGTCACTTTGATCGTGTGTGGTGGAGATTTTTTATTATCACAATGCATCCTAACGTAACTATGCATACGTTAATATTATTATAAGATCACTGACCTATGTTCAGAAGTTTCGCTTTCATTCCCTTATTTAGGAATTCACTGTCGTGCTATCATTTATCATCGCCATGAATTACGTCTGCTGAGTTTACTCCTAAAGACTTTTTTTTTATAAATATTAAGAATCAATTTCAATGTTATAAACAATAAAATAAACAATGGTGTGCTAGAGACTCTAAAGCGTAAACACATTACATAAAATAATGACCGTGTCGAGTAACGCTAGAAAAGAAATTAATCAAAAAAATAAAAATTAGAACCACAAGAAAGTGATCTTGATCAAGAGATAAGTTTCTGAATGAAAGAATTTTGGTTTTCTTTCAGCTTTTTGAAAATATTTTCGTCTTCTTTGTATTAAAATAGCTGCAATGCATGTAGGTTAATCGATGAAATTGAAATTGAAAGATAATTGATTCTCATGCTGACTGATTTATTTCTAAATAATTCTTTTCTTATTCTTCATCTTTTCATCATTACAATTGATCTGCATTAGATGTGCTTTTCATGCATTTTGGGTGGTATAAATAAGAGTTAGTGGCGCCCCATCAAACGCTTTAATGCATCATAAAAGATTCAATTATGTGCAATAAATGTCCGATAATTTATGGAAGTCATGACCGATTGGGGGTGTTCCTAGAATCTTCCACATTACCTTACATCATGTAACTTCTTGTCTTTATTTTTGTTTACGTTAAAAATTGAATTGTTATAAAGTTTTATTTGCTACTTTCATTACATGAAATTGTGATGAATGCCGATGGGCGTTTTAATGGATCCACAAATCATTTTTCTATGTTCTCACAATCCGTTGAGTGAATGACATATTATAGCATGCAACAAGCTTGTTTAATAATTTCTTTTCTTAAATATACAGTCGATGATCTTGATGGTAAGCATATTTGAAAAATTAAAGAAGACTTAAGATTAACCATCAAATAGCTTAACACTGTACATCATGCAGTCTCTTTAAAGATATGTTCTTATACTTGATCTTAATCTCCTTTCGGTTGAGAAATTTTAAGCCATCAAAGAATGAAATATTAATAAGATAATAGCCAGTTTTCAAGCTTATTTCGGCTGCTTTACTTTTATAACGAGCACTTTATATAGAAAGAAGAAATGTCGATGTAAGTAAGTAATTAAAATCCATTTCTTATTTCTAATTAGTTCAATAGAAAATTATAGGTTTTGGTTTCTATCAACACTAGCATTTAAGTACAAAAGAATCTTCTTATTACTTTTGATCTTAAAACAATGTAGAAGTCAGTGAACTGCTTCCAGGGAATTTCAACTGACATCACATAGATACATGGCTACCACATAGTGTTAAAGTAATGAATTAAATGTCTAGAGGAAATTAATCTACAAAAAAAGGTTTCCAACATATATTTTTACACATATTTCTATAATGCATTGTGTCCCGAATGTTTTTTTTTCTTTCTCTTTTCAAATTTGTAAGTAGATATGTAGATATAAGAAGCAAGAATATGAAAGAGAAAAGAAAAGGCAATTAGATGAAAATGAAAATTTATGTTACTGGTTATGCAATCAACGAGCGATGTTTAATGTTATCGTTTAAATGTCGATAAAGGAAAGAAAGAAAGAAAATTTGGGAAACAAGTCGAAAGTGATTTTGTGTAACGACCTTAGACACGTGTTGAAATCAATGATTATTGATTACAACTAAGTTCATAATTTATGAGTTGAATTGATTTAAATACTGAGCATGTATAAGTAGATTTAGGTTCATGACTGTCGCGGCTTTCTCTGAGAAATTAAGAAAAAAAAGTTAAAACTACAAACATTTAGATATCTACAACTGATTACGAGTATATGTTGTAATTTATTTATTTATTTTATTTTTCCGTGAACCAATAAACCGTATAATATGAATGAGTCATTGAGCAATGTTAATCAAAATTGAATCTTCTCTTTCCGTCAAAGCGAAAACCATAAGCAGCTGCATTTTTAATATCAATCAAAGCTTAAAAGAAAAAGAGAAAAAAAGAGAAGAGAAAATTTTTATTTCTGATTGAATTTCATCGATTTATAGTCGTTCAAACCTGGATTACGATGTTGAAAGAAACTTCCGTGACTATGTGAAGCTCTTGCCACAGAGTTCATTCCGTTAGTCTCACGAGGATAGAATGCTTCAAATGTTCCTGGTTCAGGTATAATTGTCTCGATTTCCTTGTCATTTGGATCATAAGAATTCACTTCAACAATCAAGAAGATAACGAGAACAGTTGTGAATACTTTCAACATCATTACACACAATTTTTTGAATAATTAAAACAAAATATTATTTAAACTTTTTCACCTTCAATCAAATTAAATTTGCCACGCGTTTCGTCTCGTTACAAATAGTTTATTAACTGATGTAAACCGTACATGATATTGTTTTCATACCAATGCAAAAAGAATCGTAATTTTGACATTCAACAATATGCCACGACTTTCTCTCTCTCAATATTTTTTCTTTTCTTATAAGCGCGGTTTCTGTAATTTTAAGTTCAAGAGATTGTTTATGTTGGGATGTTGAGATTCCACCGGAATTAATTTCAGGATAATGTTATGAAAACTTCTTCAATTTATCGTCGTTGTGTGAAGTCCTAACGAGTAATTTGTCAAATATAAAATCAAAAAGAATTTTTTTTTAACTTTTTAGGAACAAATTTGTTTTATTAAATTGGAATTGCCCACAAATTATAAAACAAAGCATTTCAATTAAGTTTTTAATCTTTTAAACGCAATTGAGACTTAGTCTCTTTAATTAATGTCATTAATGTTGTTCAATGCATAAACTTTAATGGTTTTTATTAACAGTCAAGTAAAACAAAGAGTTTTGGAAAGAAAAATGTGATCGACGCATGAGTTAAACAGGGTAAAGACAGCTCTCCATCTTAGACTTGATGTTTGGTTGATTGAATGGTGACATCCAAAGGATTGAAAATCGACCGAAAACAGCTTCAATGCTTTTCCATCGCGATTTCTTCACCCACCTCGCTTCTTCCTTTTTAAGTTGTTCAATTCCAGTTTCATCATTCCATATTGCATTCAATTGCGTGCCAAGCATGATTATTGTGAACACAGCAAACAAAAGTGCTTCAAATATAAGAAATAGCAGAAGAACGACTGTTGCTGGTGGAGAGAATGTCGAACACTCTTTCCATTCATGTTTGATGCACATTGCAAATTGATTTACACAAAGAAATAATGCATGAACTGAAGTCAATGCAATATAGCAACAAAATAATACGAAATACTTTTGATTCCTTTCACCTACACAGTTATTTATCCATGGACTGAAAATAAAAAATAAAAAACGATAACGATGAGTCAAGGTGAAGATTTGTTCAATTTCATGATAAGAAACTCACCAATGATGATCCATTTTAAGAATACACCTGAATTAAAAAGTAAACTATGAAGACTTCACTTTAATAACAAGGACATTTACAAACCTTTTGCAGACACTGCAATGATGTGCTCGGTTTGGCTTGATACTTGAACATTTTGGGCACTTAAAAATTACTTCACCTTCACGAAATCCCATATTTTGAATGTTCTCTTTTGTGGCATTGCCTTTTGGAACAGCGCCTGGATCGGAGAACATTGATTTTAAGTGACTCGATACCGCAAGGAATATTCCACAATTAAATATTATCATATTAATGTAACGATAAAGCGGATAAGGACATGGTAAAATTATCACTTTCATTACAACAAATTCGGCGTAGGCAATAAGCATCCATGTCATAACAGCACATATTATTCCACAAATATCCTAAAATATTAAAACATACATTACAAAACTTGTAATTAAATTAAATTTTATTGTCTACCTGTATGCACCATATTTTCCCACCAAAAATTCGATTATGGTTGTCAAAATGACGTTTCGTGGGATAATAATCATATTCCATTATGACTTGTCAATAAAACTTTATAATTTTATCTATAACATCACATAACTTCGCTTTAATATGTTTTTAATGTTACATTAATTTGTAAACTTTCTATCGAATGTTTTCATATATTTTGCTTCCTACTATCAATAACCGCTTCACATTTCGCTTCCTTCGCTTCTTACTTCAGCATAAAAATTTTCGCATCTGATCCAAAATGATTAAATGTAAACAAACAATTACGAAAACAACTGAAATAAGAATCTTATCAGTCTAAAGGTCGAAAACGAAATGGATGTGTTTATTAAATTAAATTCGGAAGTTGCTGGTAAAGACAAAGCTGCAAGACTCTTGCAGTACTCTTGTCGTGCCTTATGGGACTCGTTAAATGTGAAAAACGAAGCACATTTAGCTTTAATTCATCAATTAAAGTCATTAGAATATATTCTCAGTTCATTCCGCAAATGTAAGTTAATTTTCAACGATAATATATTGTCATAAGATAAGAATGTTGAATTGCTTTACAGTACTACGTTTTGGAAAGTCATTGGAGGTGTTTTATGGCGCTCTAAAGTCCATTCATTACAGTGATGCTTGGCTTGCTTTTACAATAACTGTTAATAAAATTAGTCAATCGATTTTCTTATTCACTGATCACATTATATGGCTGGCGAGGAGTGGATTAGTCAAAGATATAGACACAGTTAAATGGTCACAACGTTCCAACAAATATTGGGTTTTGTCACTTGTGATGAGCATTGTTCGAGATATTTATGAAATCAATAGGGTAGTTGCAAGTCTTTCATCATATAAAGAGGTAACATCATGCATTGCACTTTCATTGTTGTCAATTAGAAGCTCCAAAGATGCCAATCGTTGTTTGACAACACTCTTTGACTTTCTCATCACTTACAAGCATTTAACCATCGATACAGTGAAGAACTGTTGTGATTTATTTATTCCACTTACGAGTATGGGATACATCAAGGTCTCACCACGCGTCGTTGGCTTATTAGGAATGATTTCATCAATCGCCGGACTTATCGTCGTCCTTAATCCTCAATGCAAATTGACACCTTAGTTACTTCAACATTCCCAAATGATGTTCTATCCCAAATGACCCGTTATTGGGTTAATTGAGATGTCAATGTTGATATTGATGACAGACAAGGGTTAAGGTTTAGCTACATCCTTTCAAATGAATTTTTTTCTCTTCTCTTCTCTTCAGTTATAAAAGTCAAACAAAACAAAGGTGAACAAAGGAAAATGTCGATTCATTGAATCGCAAAAACAAAAGCAACAAAAATAAAACTAAGCACGAAAAAGGAAAAGTAGATTAAGGTGAAACATTTAATGGATGAACCAAATATCATCAACTGTAATATAAAAAAAAGGAAACGGAATGGGGTTGAAATAAAAGAAGCATTTAGTTTATGGTGTTGCATTTTTCTCTCATTCTTTTAGAGCAGAGCACGTGTTGTACATGCGCATTAATTCAAAGTTCAAATTCGACGAATTTCTGATGATGAGAACTTTTCTCGAAGCTTTGTCAGACGTCGTGAGATCGTCGAGTGATGATAAAGCTTTTCTTCGATTATCATTCGACAATTTGCGAGAAAATATTTCGCAATGATTTTCCGCTATATTAATTAACATAATAATAATTTATTCTTTTTTCCGAATGAATAAGCTTAAACATAAACCTTTTTTTCTTCTTTCCGAACCGTCAATTAATTTCTCCGTCGTAATTTTCTTCTGTTATCGCCAATAATTGGCGGTTTTTTCTCCACCAAACCCATCAATCAAATTCAGGAAAAGATTTTTTTGTAGCTATGTAATTAAAATTAATTGGTGCTGATAGTCTGATGAAAGCTGACATGATGAATTAGAGATGATTTTCTTAAATACTTGCTTCTTAATGTGTTTGAGTTTTTGTGACTTTAACAAATAATCATGTACTTAAGTGAAATTAGATTTCAGTCGTGCTTTCGCATGAGTTGCCTACAAATAACCGACAATTTATAACAGAGAGAATTCCGGCCTTTGCCTCAAACATTCTAAAACTTTTTGCTTTGTTTGTTGCAAACATTTTTACAAAGTTCAATGCACTTTAATTCAATCTGAAATTGATTACTTTCTTTTATTCATTCGTCATTTAGGTGTGAGCTTTCTTCAAGGAATTTTCAAACGAAATAGAAGAAAATTTCTTACCGTTGACATTACATTAACCTTTTTCAAGAACACAATGCATGGTTATGCTCAGTAGTGCATGTTTTCAACATGAGAGTATTTGAAAAAGAGTAAAAGTTGTTCAATGTTTCATGTCATGAGTACCTAATACGATTTAAAATGAAGAAGGAATCATTTTACAATCCAATAATATTAATGAAAGTGGAATGTAAATTGTTCAACTGTGAAGTAATTTCATCCTTGATCACAACTCCTGCAAATGATTTTTTGAAAAGATTACTTTTCGTTTTATTTGTTGTTAGGTTTAAATTTATTTATGTAAATTAACTTTTTATCGTTTCCTTCCAACCGCATATGACGCATAAAATCAAAGAAAACATAAAAGTAATTAAAATTTCTAAGGGAAAAAAAATTTTTTTAAAAATTGTTTTTGCGGAATTGTGAACAAGATAGCGACTGTCGCTAGATTTTAAATAAATATTTACAAACCAAGGCTGTTGTAAATCATTTAGAAGCAATTTGGTTTAATTTCTTCTTCTCCCAAGACACCAAATAAAATGATTTCAACCTTTTAAAAGTCATGAAAGAAATTAGAATTATTTCTTCGATAATTATTTCGCCATTGATTGCGGAAAAAGTTCAAGTAAAAAAAGTTTTTCCAGCTCAGCTGTTTATTTAACAGAAATAACTTTGAAAGTATGCTGAAAGCATGAGAAAGCAATCCGTTACAGTTACAAAAAATGAACCATGAAAGGTTTATTGCACCCAATTCAATTTTAATGAATAGGAAATTCTTATTAAATCCATGATACAAAATGTTCAATAACATCCGAGACTTTCAAAAAGAAAACATGTCAAATAGATATCATCAATAGGACTTCCGATTAAATCTTCTTCTTTCTGTGTGAAAGGAAGCTTCACGACAACATGAAGCATTCAGTGAAAATTCTTTGAAGAAACAACAATTGCGCCATGGAAGGTTTTTATTAAATGATTCCGCACTAAATAACTCTAATAAAAAGTAAAAAGTAGCAAGAAATCCTTTGATAATAAATAAATAAAATATAACAAAGAAAATAATGGTAAAAAATGTCAAGTACAAGTTGTAATTAAATTCCCAAGAAAATGTTTCATTATGAAAACAATGGAAGTTAATTAATTCTTTTAATCATGCGGCGATGCCATAAAATTTTCTTATTCCATCACAGCGATGTGAATGAAGGTAAATCACATGACATTCAAACATCATTGTCCGTAGATAAATATCTGCGTGGTTCATGTTAGGTATCTATGAAGGGTTTAAAGAACAATTGTTGTCAAGTTGCAAACTAGAACAATTTCTTTTTTCAACACACGTGCATGCTTTGAATTACACGTAAAGCTCTCTATTGTCACGAGAATGTAAAAGCTTTGAATCTAACGTTTCCTTTGTGCCACCCACATTTCTTTATTTTCTTCTTTAACTTGCTAGATTTGATATTTAGATCATTGTAAAAAAATTTCACCTCATGCTAAAATACAAATTTTATGAGTCAATAAAGGAATGAAAGGATTCTTTATTAACAACCTTTGTTTTCTTAGGAAATTTCAATTCAAAACGAAAGCATAAAAATTCCTTTAGATGGAAACTCTTTCCACATCTATTCATCAACAGTTGCGATATCATTGCCAAGTAAATAAATATTTCAATGCTATTTCATTTAGAAAGAAATTAAGATCAGTGGGAGGAGTTAAAAGTTTTTAAATATTTTTTCATTTAAAAAGTTTCAGAGTTAAATCATCAGTTTGCATCCACAAAAAAGGGATAAACGCTTCAAGGCAGTCATGTAAGTGCAACCTTCAAAGAGTTGTTGCTATAATTAAGTAAAGTAATTGATGGAAAATATTTTCAATATAAAAATCAAAGACAAGAAACTTTTAATTCCACGAAATTTGATATATTAAAACTTTCTCAAATTACCACAAATTAGCAGTTTGTGTGACAGTAAAAGTTAAACAAAGAACTGAATTTCATTTAATCAACAAGTGTTCGCTCGTAAATCGTAAACTGCCATGCGCAGCTCTCAAAACATTTTCTCTTTTATCATTTCTTACATTTCTTGCTTTTAAGTTCAATTTTATACCAAATCCTGTTATAAAATAAGATGATTTTAAAAGGAAAGTCTCAGTTCCTTATTAAACTCTCGCGATTAGTTGTGAACTCCAAAGCAGCTTTGCTTTCTTTGTTTCAAACATAAAGAAATTCTTTCTCTGTCTACCGGTTGATTTTTTAAGACTTTGTCTAAATTTACTTAATTGAGAGAAATATTCGTCATTAAAATTAATTATTCTCTAAACTTAATTAGGAAGTAATCAAGAGATTGCCAACAGCATTAACTCGTCTGTGAAATTCAATGCATAGTTAATAAAATTTAGTGTGCTTTAAATAGCAGACTTTTATTCAGTATTACGAAGCTTTCCTGGAAACCTATTTGGTATTTAAATTGTAGTACAAAAAAAAGGGAAAAGCTACTTAAAAACCATGACAGTTGAATATAAAAATAATTAGAAAACGAAGAGTTGTGATGATTAAACAGAAGTGATTACACCAAAACACACAAAAAAATTTCAATTTCAATTAACTGAGGAATGAAGATATCATTTTAAGCATCTTAAGGATTCATTGTGAAATAAAAGCATCATCTATCAATCATTTTGTGTCCTAGAAAGAGAAGAGAGAACAAATCAAATCAAATCTTTGATGATTTGTTATTTAAAACGACGAGAAAGATGTCAGAACAAAAATCTTTATTGTTGTCGTCGCATCACTTCACTCATCAGCAGCTGCTTTCAATTATTCTGAATAATATCACAAAAGCTATGAACAAACCGGATACAAATGACACAAGAAGTGCTTTAACTAAATTCCAACAGTTTTTCCTCAAATCCATTTATCCCTTTCACAATGGAACGATTCTAAATGATTCCTTGCACTATGTTACGTGCCCGTCAATACAACATCCTATGGGAAATGTGATAGCCATTACACTCTATCTTGTTGTATGCATTGTCGGCTTATTCGGAAATTCTCTTGTCATCTATGTTGTGTTAAGATTCTCAAAGATGCAGACCGTCACGAACCGCTATATATTGCACTTAGCTATAGCAGATGAATGTTTTCTCATCGGCATCCCATTTCTGTTAACAACAATGTATTATAACGAGTGGATGTTTGGGTCTTTCATATGCAAGCTCTACATGATCAGCACTTCCATTACTCAATTTACATCATCAATATTTTTGCTTATCATGTCAGCGGATCGATTTATTGCTGTCTGTCATCCCATATCGTCACCTCGCTTCAGAACGCCGCTCATCTCAAAAATTGTGTCATTAATTGCCTGGGGAACGTCTGCATTAATTATGTTGCCCGTCATGCTTTATGGTGAGTGTATGAGATTAATATTTTCATTCTTTTTCTTTCTTTTTTTCATTTTATTACTTACGAGGCAATTCATCAAAACCTCTACGCTTCGTGAGAGATTAGTTTTGATGAAGTTGATATCAGATTTTTCTTTTATTTTATCGTTTCAACTTTTGTTTTTCTTTTTTTTAATGGACGAATTGAGCACACGTGATGTGACATCATCATGTGTGCTTCGTGCTTGTCATAAAAATATGATTCAACAAATCTTTTGTTCACTTTTCTTTTCTTTTTTGATAGTGATGAATGTTTTTCTTTCTGACATTTTAAGGCCATGAAAATTTTCATTTTATTTCCTTCCTGATGACTCATTCAGTAGACTTTGCCAGTCTGCACTCATCAATAGTTAATCTCCTTATTTTTATTTTATTTATGCATTTGAGCTGCAATAACAGGCGAACGTAAAAGATTGTTGTCTATCGCATGTTTTAAATGCTAACAAATAACAAATAAAATGTGCCAATATGTATAAAAAGGGAACATAAACAAGTAAAAATTTCAATTAAAAAGTTTTGTCAGTGGTAAAGTTTGATTAATAATAAACATAAAGAGAGAGTTTATGTTGACTAGATTACAATAGATTGGGAAAAAAGTTATCGGTGATGCTTCTGAGGGCAACTCCTTGTTACTCCCTCCCTCAAAGAACATTCCAACAACATAAAAAAACTCAATCATTAACAGAGAGTTTAAAACTCAATCATTAACAGAGAGAATATTTGGAACAATAATTTGAGGATTGAAAATTGTTTTTCTTGAGCTGTTAAGTAGATTCACGAAAACAAAACACTTGAGCACTAGAAAATAAAAATAATTAACTCTTGAAACGACTTATCATTGAATTTCTATTTTGTTTGTTCTTCTTAACAGCAAACACGACCGAGAAGTTTCCTGGATCGAGGAGTATGTCATGTAACATTTTATGGTCGATTGACGACAATTTCGTGGGGTCAACTTTCACACTTTATTCGCTAATTCTCGGCTTTGCCATACCATTGAGCTTGATCCTTGTGTTCTATTATTTAGTTATAAAAAAGCTTAAGACTGTTGGCCCGAAAAATAAGTCAAAAGATAAGAAACGTTCGCATCGTAAAGTTACTCGACTCGTTTTAACTGTCATCACAGTGTACATTCTGTGTTGGAGTCCTTATTGGGTATTGACGACAATGAAATGAGAATTCATGATCGCACGATAATCTCTTTTTTATTTGTTCTCAGGTGAGCCAAATGGCTTTAATTAATTCATCGCCAGAGTTGTGTCAGTCGAAGCTTGAGATTACAATATTTGTTCTCGTTGGATGTCTTGGTTATTCTAATTCGGCTATTAATCCCTTACTCTATGCTTTCCTTAGGTAAGCACAAAAATGTTCAACACAATGCATCATTTGTCCCGTCGTCGTCGTTTCTCGATAAATCACTTTTCTCTTTTTCTTTTAATTTAGTGACAACTTTAAGAAGTCATTCATGAAAGCTTGTTTGTGTGCGAGAAGCAATGACTTCAATGGTCCGCTTCATGTAGAAAACAGCATTTTCCCTCGTTTCGGAAGAAGTCGAGGCTCAGAGAAGTTGACTTCGATAGCGAAAAACAATTTCAACAAAACGAAAACATCGACCGCTGCTGGTGGTGGTACTATTGTTAAAGACTCTGAAGGAGCAGTCGTTTTCCAGCAAGATAAGTGCAAGAATAATGTTTTTGTCAAAACTACAGCGATAACGATTCCGTGCATTCCTGAAAACAAGGAAAATAATAATATTAATGGTCACAATGAGACAACGAATACAGTTCAACGAACCGCCGTCCTTCACACGGATCTGTGAGAAAATTCAGAACTCACAGAAATGAACAAAAAAACAGAAAGGAAGCAACATTAATATGAAATGTTCTCCTTAAATTATCTAAAAAGAATGTTGAGTTATCTCGCTCAGCCGACCCAGTCAACATGATAAACATCTTGATGTAGACCCTCGTGTGAAAAACCTCGTCACAATTTGACGTTTATGAAGTGTTTGTGTTTTGTAAAGATACAAAACATATTCTGTCTAAATGATTCAATAAATGGTATACCATAAAAATGTTGAAGAGTAATTTATGTCTCAACATAAGCTCGAGTAAAAGTTGTCTACTTTTTTTGCTTGTCATTTATGACTCGCAAACGTGTGTAAGATAAAAAAAGAAAAAAGGGGAAAAGAAAATTGTTTACAACAGAATAAAGATTCAATCAAAATAATTTTTTTTCTAAGATAAAATGATGAAAATATTAGTCAAGATCATGAATGAATTAAATTATTTATTGGTTTGAAGAAGAGAAAAGTAATTTAATCATTAGAAGCAAGGACATAAATCTGTGCCGGAACAAAAAAGTGGAACAAACAAATATGAGGCGAAAGAGAACGACCCAAAGCCCTGATCAGAAGTATCAAATCCACCAGCAAACAGAGAAACAAAAGCTCAATTTTCATTCAAACTTACATTTCTTCTTAATCAAGCTTTCCTTTACCTCAACAAAAAAAAATTCTTCATGCATTAATATCCGTCAAATTAATTATGTCTTGTAATTTTACTTTATACAAGGATCTTAAAAGAAATTAATAAAAATATATTTGATAACTTGTTGGTAATAAATTTGTTTTACTCTAATTTGTGTAAATTTTTCTCAACATATTTCGATATTTATCTTTCATATTCACCTGAGAACTTTTTCGGAAGTGTCTAAGCAAATGTTATCAATAATCGATTGGAAGATTTATTGAGAAGCTTAAAATTTCTTCATGGAAAGTTGTTCATAAAGCTTTATGTACATACGTTCGGCATCTGAAAAGAAATATTGGAAGCTTAAGAAGTCTTTAAGAACAAATACTTGCTATTCGTCATCGTTGAATGAGCTTCAACCTCAAAAAGTACACGTGAAGTTGGCACAGCACAAATTTCTCCCTTGAATAATTGAAAATCTTTTTTCCACTGTAACGCTTCATAACTTTCACAGTTCATTACCTCGAAAGGAAGTAAACAACGCTTTAAACGATTCCATTAATGGAAAAAAAGGTTGATTCAATCAAATAACAATAAAAAATTATGCTGTCCCTTATGGGTTTGGTTGATAAGAATTTCAAAGAAATTTGTTGGTAATTTGAATTTAATTAACGATTTCGTTTTATTACATCGTCAATTTCTGTTTTTCTCTGATCGTTTTGCAATGTTTATTAATTAAAATTTATGGTCGAAATTATTGGAAGATTTTAAATTAATTCTTCATGAGAATGTGCGAAAGTTAATAAAGTTTTGCCCTTTTCTAGTAAAATGCTTGAGAATGAAGAAAAAAAATTGATTTATATGAGGACGATGAGAAAGTGCCGAAGGAAATTTTATTATTCATCCCTCGAATCATACAACTTATATCTCTTTATTTATGCAGTAATAAAAATTGTTTTCTTCGAATTCCACATTATAAAAGATTTATATCTTTACACTTTGTATAATTGTGCATTAAAAAAGTCCTTAAAATTCCCCGATGAGAATGATTCGTGTTTGAAGTTTTTATTGAAACGACTAGACATGTTTTTTATCTTCATTTGTGATGTGAAAGTCAAAACAAATTGAGTTTCCGTTCATGTTTCTCATACTGTTAAACTGGCTTTATAGCTCTCTTGAATTATCATGGTTATTGAATCTTCAAGCTTTAACTGCCGTTATCAGCTAGCAGCATTATTGAACATCACAAAATGGTTGAGCAATTTTTGTTTCATTTTCATCATGTGAACGTTTTTTGTCCTTTCAATTTAACAGCAATTGTGAATATTTGTGCATGTTTTTGATAGTATCTATCATGAACGTTTGTTTTCATTGTCTCATGGGACTCATAAGAGAATTTTATTTAAATTGTTTATTTCCATAAAAATTCTTTGCATGCATTCTTCCCATTCGTTTCACCAAAGTTTGTTCTGATATCAAAGAGAATAATGCATACACAAGATTCTATTTGCGAGACTTATAGAAATATCCAAAGCCAGACGAAGCGACACAATGAGCGATGAAAATAATTGACTGAAGTGCAATGAGAGTTTTCCAAAATGTGCAAAAATGATTTTTATATTTTTCCTGAGTGAACGAACTTTAATACGGAACGAAGCGACTTTTACTACTCTTTGTTTTTTTTTTCACTCTTACTTCTATTCCATTGAGAAATCTGTTCAAACTTCTAAGTTGTGAAGGAAAATATTTGATATTGTGTCTCCATTTTCAAGATGTTTTCAAAGAAATTTTGATTTCATTCCAAGTAAAATTTCTCTTTTAAAGCTTCCTTCTCAAGATACTTAGGAACATAAGAAGGAAAAAAAGAGATAAAAGGAATTAAGCTTTCAAAGGAGAGATCAATGATGAATTACTTTTTCCCCTTTCCGCCCATAAACATCAGAGGAAAATAAGAAATTCTGATGGAGAAAAGGAAAATTAAGTTGTTCTTTAAATGACGAGGCACTTATATGAAGTTTAATGCGTTCGTTGATGTTAACTGATCCAAGAATATATAAAAGGAACTTTCTTACATAGTTATGATAGCATCAAGAAAATTCATGCATTGATTTTCCTCTCAATTTTCAGCATTAGCAAGCACGCAAAGTATTCGTCTTTTAACTTATTTTCAAACGTCTGAGATTTCAGACACGATAACAACAAATTATGGTGCATGCTTCTTTTAATATTAATTTGTAGAAAACTAGTTGTGTCTTGCATCTTTCCAAATGGATAGTTATTTTGTAAATTACAGAGAAATTTTTTTAAATTATTTACCAAAATATTTCAAGTTCCCAAAACACTGCAAACATTTTCCAGACTTATTTACTTTTTACTCAGGATAATTAATAGCAATGTTCAGTCGACAGAAAGCAGTAGCTTGTAAATTTTTAGATCATTCAAATAATAAAAACCCAGTCAAGCATAAAAAGAGCATAGCATAATGACAGACACAATTTAATATTCTTTGTTACTAATTTAAGGCTAAGAGCTTTTAAACTTTGATGAAAGATATTTGATCTTTTGCGCAATAACAAACATTCAGACCATTTTATATTTATATTTAAGGAACTCATTTACCTAATAGAACAATTTGGTAATGTTGTTTCCTGGAAAAGGAGAGACAACGGAAACGAAGGAAAAGCATTAAGGAAAAAAAATATTTACTCTGTCGGAAACATTTGCAACAAGAAATTTAATCTTTAATAAAGTTTTCTTTTTCTCAAAACTTTCTCATTCTCCATACTTGCAATTGAGTTGAAATTTTTTCAAAGTTGCTTGCTTGGAATTTTTTTTCTCGATTTAATATTGAAATGTTGATTTGAAATGCCAATTTTACGAAGCAGCTTTACGTGTCAGTTTAAATATTCTTAAGATTTTCAACTGAGTGTCAAAAACATTTTCATTCTCAAGGATATTGATTCAGACACACAAAACTTTCTTGCTATCAAAATTTCGAACTACATAAATTTTCTTAATAAATATCAAATGAAAGCTCAGATGCAAAGCTTGCACAAAATCTCCTGGTCAAATAGTAAAGCAACAGCTTGCACTTGAGGGTGAAGAAAAAAAACTTGAAAATCTACATTTCATGAAGTTGATGGTCTAGAAATGTGTACAATCTCAGGGTGTCTTTAAGTAAAAAGAAAAACAAACGGAGCTGAAACGGGTAAGTAATTTTGCCTTAAGAAACTCATAAAAAGATTTCCTTAAATAAAATCTACTTTTTGTCCTTCAAGGTTTAGATTATGACACTAACTATAAAAAAGAAAGAAATTTAGCAGCGTTTGTTAAGGTAGGTTGGGTGATTGACGCTTAAAATCTTTTGTGAAGACTCAAGACGTTTAGACCTTTTTATTAATGTTTGGTTACCTTCAATTGTTTGTTAATTCTCGAGATAAATATCCGACGTTAAAATTTTCAGAACCTTTTATCGGTTCAACCTTAAACTGATTCAGTTTCGTTCAACTCAATCAACACGAGCTTTAGAAAATTTCATTTGAAATCCCTAACAATAAATGTAAGTCATGCATTGAAATGTAGAACTTCATGAAAGTTTCAATTGCAGAAATTTATTGTTGCGAACTCTTTCCCGTGGTGATGAATGTTAAATATTTTTTCAACATAGCTCATAAATCGAACTTTTTTCACCATCATAAATGAAGAGTTTTATTAAACAAAAGTTATTTCATGTTGAGTACCTTGAGATACAATTTTTATTTGAATTCGGAAGGGACTGAACATTATCCTTGCTTTAGGGCCACTAGGATATTAGTTTCGGGTTCTTTTGTTTCATTCCTTCTGTTTTTCGTTAGAATTTGCTTGGACTTCATGTTTTAGAATTCTTCATATGCCGGAATTCACTAAAATTATGCTTTTGAATAATTTGAAGCTTTTCCATCTTTTTAATATTGCAACTGATGACGGATGAAAACATTTATTTCAATTTCTATTTGCACATTCTTAGTTATGAAATTTCAGCTCATTTCGTGATGTTATTAAATTGTTTCCCTGCAAAATGCTTTTGCAATAAACATATTTATGACTTCAGTGAATGAATATTTCATATCTGATAATGCATCATTATTGGTTTTCATGAACATTCAAATCCATTCAGAATTGCAGACCGATGTTGACATCAAAGGTTCGAGTATCGACATAGAATTATTATCACCAGCAGCAACAGTTATCAGTAAACATCTCAAAAACAATGCTAAATAACTTACCTACCTACATTTCTATTCAGTATAAAATCAGTTAGTGAAACATAAAATTGTTTTCTTATCATTTCCTTTCAATGCCATAATGCCATTCATCGCTACTGAAGCATATTCTTGAAGATTCCTCTCGATTTGATTTTCTCATATCATTTCTTGTCTCTAAACGAATGCAAACAAAATGAATCATTCTTTAAGAGTGTAGTTACATATATCAAAACAAAGAAACTTCTTCTTGTCTATCAAGTTCTGCTCTATTTACTAAACATAAATCAATGATGATGCCGACTACAGATCTGTGTTGAGAATTAAACTGATTTCTTCATATTAAAGCTGTGAACAAACAAACATTCATGGAGTTATATTTATCTTCTCATTTAGTCTGTTTAACGATTGTTTAGTCAATTATTACGTCAACAAACACAATTTCAGGAAAGATCTTCATTGTGATGGATTAAAGGCTTTAACTTCATCTTGGAATCGACAACGATGAACTTTGAATTGTTTCAATTTTCAAGAATGTGTTAAAACATTACACTTGGAAGTTCTTTTGTTATGCCTATGGTTACGGTTTTCACGGTTACAAACTTTTGAATAAAACAAACAACTTTCATAATTATGCACAAAATATGATGAAAGGAAAATGTTTTAATTGGATTCGTTATGCGTGAAAAAACTTCAAGCTTTTGCGAAAGTTCTTTTGGCGAAACCAAAAGCTTTCAATAGAGTTGAAAGTTAGATAATAAAAGATAAATGTTGTGACAGTAAATTGGTTTGGTTGAAATTGAAAAACAAATTAAAACAGCTATGGGCTATGGCTAATGTTTTTCATGTAAGACTGTGTAAGCAAGCTTCATCTCAAGAACTTAATAACAACAAACAAATTCAACCGAAAGCATCGTGTCTGTTTGTTCAGCTTTCAACAACTATGAAAGTAATTTTGTGGTGCTATTATTATTAATGTGTATTCACAATAAGAGTTGAAAAGCATGAATGGGGGATGAAAGTGTCTCCTTCACTTTAGAAAGGGAAAGGACTTGTCTAAATAGTCAAAACAAAACGAATGCGAAATGGAAATCGAATGTTGCTTTATATTTTGGATAACAGAAATTCATTTTTCTCAATATCCATCTACTTTATATAAAGTGATTATTGAAAAAAGAGTTTCTTTGTGTCACTTCTTTGTGCAATTTACTTGAAGTGATTGTTTTCTTTTTATTATTATTAAATACAGTAGAACCTCGATAAAGTAATGGCTCGAATAAATGATGTACTGACAATGTAATCTCAATGAAGTAACTTTCTCTTTCAATCCCTTTTAGCCATAACTTTATGGAAGTTTCCACTCGACATTTCTATAAAAAATACTGAGAACAAAAGAAAAAATATTTTTTACTCAATTGAACTTTCATCATCTTCACATTTTTTATTTGAGAAGAAAGCTAAGTAATAAAAGTCAAAGGATATCAGTAACATGTTGAAGTTGTCGTTTCTTCCTTGAAAATAAGAAAAAACTTTGCAGCATTTATTCATGTTAAAATCCAATCAAATTGTGAATGAAGTTAATTAAATAAATTTCCTTTGATATCATTTGTAAAGTAAATGTCATAAATAATTACGTGTTTCCCTCTGAGATGTTTGATAATAATTTAATTGCGTCAATAGTCAATGATGATAAGAATTAAAATTTGATGTGAATGTAAGAAGCCTTTAAAATCCCATCAAATGTTAGATAAACAACTTTTGATTCCTTTTACGCCAAACAATTTGTAATGCTTTGTCACATATGCTAAGTTACAGTTTTAAAGAAGTTCTTCGTCACATATCCCAGTTTTGTGATTATTAAATTTTTAATCGTCATAAAATTTCTTCTCATTCGAACTTTATCCATCATCAAAATCATTAATTTTTTAACGTTTTCCTTTTTGGTTTCTAATATTGGAAAATTATTATTATTTTATATTTTTAACACGACCATAATCTCCACACTTACTTTCCGTTGAATGTGTTTCCCTTTTTTATATTTAACTCATTTCAAGCGACCATTAAAAGAAACAATAAAGTTGATACAAATTACAGAAGATTATTTCATTACTCGATTAATTGGTTTTTGTTCTAAACTGAATTTCAGCAATCAAAACATCGTTTAATGATATCATTTTACTACAAATCAAGTCTTACATCCTTCCTTTTATTGCTCTTAGCTTGAAGGTTCTTCAAATCTTCTTTTTTTCTGGAACATCTCAGAGTGAAAAAACTGTTGTTGATTTATTCAAACGACATAATCAAGTCGACATTTTAGTATCTGTCCCTTCGTGACTATGAAATATTAAGTAGATGAACATTATTCATATCCCGACAAGTGCTAAATGTTCACAATTCCTAATTTCAAAATTAATTTTCAATGAAAGGCAAATTTGAATTTCCTTTCAAGCGATTTTGAGTTATTTTTTGATTTAACTGCAAACATCGCATTAAAATATGTAAAGGCAAACCTGAATGTCATTTGAATTCACAATCAGATATCTATAAAAAAAATTAATTCCATTTTTATCTCATGTTTTCTCATGTAATGTAATCGTCAATTATCTATTCGACTTGCTCGAATTCTTAAAATACAAATTAATCAAAAAAAAAGTTTTAAAAATTAAATTTATTGAAATTCCGATATTGAAGAGCTTGAGGCAGGAAATGACATTTAAATATGAATATTAAATTGATCAAAGACGATTCAAGTAAAAATTGAGTTAAAGGAAAGGACATCAGCATTATTACTTTTGTTCCAGTGCCAAAAGCAGTGATTCGATGGTAAAGTTTCATGATTTGTTGGAAAAGTTCTGCATTGAAGTTTCAAATAACACAAAATACCTTTAGAGATTTGTTTGCTTTAAAAATTCGAGTGGAGCCAAAGGTATTTCTGCAACAATCCATGAAGATTACACCTCTTGATATGAAGCGATAATGTTTTTAGCTTTTCTGTAACTCAATCTAAATCTTACTTTCTCACATAACTTAATTCACTTTATAACATGAAATCATATTGTGGAGAATATAAAAAAATTCTCACATAATCATTAAATGAAATTTTTAAAGCAAAAAAATGTAAATCACTTCAAGAAACTTTCTTTCAGCTTTTGTTTTTCAACGTTTTTCAAACAAAAACTAATAAAATAGTTTGATTCATTTTAATCCATTTCGAAATTCAAAACAAAATTTTCATTTTTGAAAATTTTTTCTCAGATAGTAATTAAATACTTTAATTAATATAAACATTTCAGAACAGTGAAGCATTATAATGTACTAATGAACGAATTTGCATAAGCAACGAGTTAAATATTCTATTCAGTTCACAATTTGTGAGGGTTTTTCGGGTGCAAATGCGATTGAAATATTTTGAAATTTTCCATTCATATTTTTGAAATTTATTCTCACTTCGTTTCATAAATTACATTGAGGTGCCTCGTTTACTCCGCCTTCTCTTATTAGCAACGCACGTGATTTTCGTTACAGATAAACCTGCTGCAGTCTGAATAACGTGAAAAAACATTGTGGAAACATTAAAGGAAGGTTTTTCTCGAGAATCTTTAAATGAGGAAAAAATTTTGTTACTCATACTTGGGCGCTTATGAAAAGTAAAAAGTCGAGTGGAAATGTTTTTATATGAAATAACATAAACAATGTAAAAAGCATAAATGCTTGTAAAATTACCAGTTTATCGCTATAAGCACTGCAATTTTTTGAAATTCACTAGAACACTTTAAAATCTGCTGCAAGCTGGCAGTTTAAGGCGATTATTTTTATTCTGAAAAGTAAAACGTGATCGCTGCAATTTTCTCATCCACCTTGCATAAATATTTGAAAACAAATACTTAAATAATGGTTTTTGATGACACTTGTTGCTGTCTAAAAATCCCGTAAATGTCATCGTTATGTGATGTCATGGAGATGACATTTCCAATGACAACTTTCGGGGAATCATTAATGAAAAGAAATTGGATGAGCATGATTGGCATTGATTCCGATTTCAAATGATTCTTCTGCTATAAATATCTGATTTTACTGGATTCTTTGTGTAGGGAAATTTAATCAAAGTTCTAAGACATTTTACTATCAATCAAAGACAAAGGAATTGAAGAGAAAGTTAGTTTTGCATTAGATTTATTAAAGAAAGAAGCGAAGCCATTTGCTGCAGTTTTCTTCCCAATACTTGAATTTCTTTATTTAAATTTCAAAGCAAAATCTCATTAATTATATGAAAGAAGATATTTTTCAACTAAATTGACGTAGGAAGCAAATATTTGTAGAATAAACAGCCAAACGTCACGCCAATCTAACAGAATATGCACATTTATTATCTGATGAAAATGTTTACAAACATAACATGACAGCATAAATGCTAACAGAAATTTAATATGAAAATAAGTAAAAATACTTTATAAATTTTAAATGATTTCCTCCCACGCTGCTTTCGATAAAGTGCAAAAATTTTATTTTTATTTCTGGCTTAAAACTTTCCTTTTATTAATATTGCAATGGGAATTTTGTGTAGTTAATATTTATGAGACATTAATGTCATCTTATAGCATTTAGATATTTATAAAAAAGTTATTTTCAAGGGAGTTGAGCTTATTCTAAGAAGTTTACCGCAAATATCCTTTCTTATAAGATAAAACAACTCTCAAGTTGAGAGGTTAACCTTCGAGAAGATTTTCTTTAAAAGCAAAACATTTGAAGGTCAGCTTTTATTGCTTTACTTATCTCTAAAGGTATCTCAACTTTGAGCAAGATAAACCTTGGAACAAAAGTTAATTTGATATTCCTTTAAACTTTAAACGTCAATTCACTTAAATTTGTAATCAAATTTCGGAGAACTTCATTTCTACTATATGAAGAACTTTTTTAAGTGGCTTGATCAGACTAATAAATGAAAAACAAAGCGATTTTTTGCTGTTTCTTCCGACCGGTTTCGAATTTGTTTTAATTCATCCTCAGGGTTTCTAAAATGTATTACAACTTCATCAGCAAAATACTTATAAACTAACATTTTAAAATCAGCAAACAGATGTGCATTAAAAACTTACAAGAGGATGAATTAAAACAAATTCGAAACCGGTCGGAAGAAACAGCAAAAAATCGCTTTGTTTTTCATTTATTAGTCTGATCAAGCCACTTAAAAAAGTTCTTCATATAGTAGAAATGAAGTTCTCCGAAATTTGATTACAAATTTAAGTGAATTGACGTTTAAAGTTTAAAGGAATATCGAATTAACTTTTGTTCCAAGGTTTATCTTGCTCAAAGTTGAGATACCTTTAGAGATAAGTAAAGCAATAAAAGCTGACCTTCAAATGTTTTGCTTT